TAATAGCATGATATATGACTAGGATAAAGCACGGTCAGATTTCCATATTAAGAAATCTTAGTTAACTAAAGAATATATAGTTATAAACATTCCATTCTGCAGGTGGAATTAAGAATAACTATATATTGATGTGATATCACGTGTTAGCATACCGTTGTTTTTATCCAGGTGTATTGATTTGCTCTAATTTAAGATAAGATATCTTTTAGACAAATTAAAATTCTGCTTTTGTAAAAATCATGGTAGATTCTCTTATTGGATGGTTCCAGGAAATGACTAATGAACTGGTTTAAAGGTTATTTTATTTAAAATTACATAAGAATAGATCTTAATTACTTAGGAGATCTAGCCAGCATTGAAAGGGTTATTCTGTCAGCTAAACTTTACGACCTTACGCTGCACTCTGAGGAATTCTGTTCTTCGCTGTGAAAAGTTTCGCTTTCTCTCTGTGTTAAGGAAAGATAGTCATAAATCGTCAAAGTCTTGACAGATAATGCTGTTTTAGCCGTTGAAACGTGTGTAGCCATTTCTTTGTATTGCATATCATTTTATACTGGATATTCATTGATTATTGTCATGCATGTTGCATAATATTATTATTAATTAATTTGTCATTATAAATAAAAATCTATTTTTATACATTGTGATATTATTATATGAAATACTTCTCACTTAACACGATAAACGTTCTTTGGGATCTGAGAATTGAATTAGTGGGCAATTTTCAATGTTACTATTATTATCCCATAAATATCCCCACAAGCTGTAAATCCAACACTTCTATCAAGGCATCGCTGCAGTTCACAGGTATCTGCCTTGGAAACTATGTGCATGGGGGAGGGTCTGTATGGAGATGGCTGTCTCGAGCCTTTATCAGCTTAATCTTTTGCATGCTTATATGGCGGCAACAGGAGGAGGTAGCAGGTAAGCATAGCAATTTACTATCCTCACCGTTTGTTGATCCCACTGGGCTCTTTTGAAGGTAAATTAGATAGCCGTTTTGTGGGGGATTGGGGCACCAGTATCAAGAGTCGTATGGGGGAGCGGGGGCAGCTGTTTTGGATGCGCCATGGGGTCGACTTTACTCTCTATTACTATTCTTTCCTTCCTTCCTTTCTCTTTCGTAACTCTGTTTAATGTACGACTTATTTGCCTGAAGGCTTAGGCCAAGATTTGGCTGGGGTGTTAAATTTCCTTTTAATATACACTTGCTCCTGCATGGTTGGCTATATGTGTGTGTCACACAATGCTGTATTTTAGCAGCTTTGCATTTATTGACTGTAACTACTAACTAAATGTAATTAAACAGAAGATGGAGGTGAGATTAGTTAAAAGGTAACTTTTATTGCTAAAATTAAAAATAGTTCCCTTTTGTTGGGATACTAAGACAATAGGGAACAATCAAAAATAATAATACTAATAATGATACTCAAATAAAACAAATTGGTTACTCCTAAGGTGAATACTAGAAGTATAGGAATGAAAATCGTAAAGCACTCCTGATGATCCTGGCAACAGCCGCAGGGTGAAACGTGTGTCGGTGCAGATTGGCGTCTCTCCTAGACAAGGAGGCTCTTAGACTTGACTTGAACTTTTTATAAACTTTTAACAACTTCAGCCTCCGGTTTAGGGGATACCGGTACTATTTCCTTTTGGCCATCTCCTATTAGGCTCCCCTATGGCCCCGGTATACGGTGGGTCATAGGGGGATTTATGTATCTAAACAATTCAATTGAATTGTTTGCTACTGTAGTTTCGGGCTTACAACATGGAGGGAACATGTGTCAGCTGACAAACATGTAGGGATGAGTTTTTTGGTTAACTTTCAGATTATAATAGGGACCAACCGGCACATTCACCCTCCCTGCTGCCCAAGATTCACGGATTTATATCCATATCTTTATTGGCTCTCTGGATATTCAATAAACCTCCAGGAATTACATCTAAAAACTTGATCACTCTTACATAGTTACATGGCTGAAAAGAGACTTGTATCCATCAAGTTCAGCCTTCCTTGCATTTGTTTTTTTCTGTTGATCCAAAAGAAAGCAAAAAACCCCAGTTTGAAGCACTTCCAATTTTGCATCAAGCTAGGAAAGAAATTCCTTCTTGACCCCAGAATGGCAGTCAGATTTATAAACGTTGCAGAACGTTGGCTACTAAAGAGCTATTTTTTCACTAAATCATGTATTGACATCTAGTGGCTCATGGAGTACATTGTCATTCATATATTGCAAAGAACTTATTTTTTGGGAGGGCTTGTGTATCGTTAAGATTTTCACTCCTATACATGTAGTATTCACCTTAGAAGTAACCAATTTGTTTTGTTTTATTTTTCATTTGTATTATTTTGTATTGTGCCCTATTGTCTTAGTATCCCAACAAATAGGAACTATTTTTAATTTTAGCAATAAAATTTACTTTTTAACTGTCTCACCACGATCTTCTGTCTATTTAAACTTATCTAGGGGGTAAAGCCCCTTAATCTTGAGTGGTGGTACATGCTATTTAACGATCACTATCTGTGATACCTTCTTTCATTATACTAACTAAATGTCTCTTTTCTGTCTGTATATTGTTAATCGTCTGAACCAGCGCAATACAATAAAAAGTTACAAAAAAACTAATCGGAAACTCTGGACTCTCTGAGCTGTAGGTTCCTTTTCTGGTGTACTGGAGAATGTGCACATGTAACTTGGTCTATGTTGGTCATTCTGACAAACTGGGGTGCAAATTCGTGGACATTGCTGCTAACAATGTACAGCTTTCAATGATGGCACATTCACCAAGTCTGTTTTCAGACACTTCATCATACAATTCCGAAAACAACACTGAGATACTACCCAGAGGGTGGAATCAGGCCTCGTTGTTTTTTGTGGATTATTGTACACTAACACTCATGAATGTCTGCATCCACACGCACTGAAGAAAAAAAATCCTTCTGTGTTGTGTTTTCTTTTTTTACCAATATGTGGATCCTGTTGGCAAATACTAATCTTATTAGCGGCATATCTATTTGGTTAAAGTTTGGCTGAAATTTAGTCGCCGTGTTTGTATCTACCATCTATATTCACTCATGCCGGAGTATAATTAGTAATTGGACTTTATCTACACTTCTGCTTTTACATTTAATTATTTTTTTTTTTAACTTTCTTGTTCTTTCTTTTTTAGTATTACAATCAGCGCATTTTTCTTTTTGACACCTTATATTTTTTAAAGGATCACTATAGTGTCAGGAAAACAAAGCGGTTTTCCTGACACTATAGTGCCTTAAGGGTGCCCCCACCCTCAGGGCCCCCCTCCCGTGGCTTACCTTAATCCAACGCAGGGCTCCCTCGGCGCTGGTGACCTCTACTCCCCCGCCAGCTCCCGAGTGGAGCAGAATGCACATGCGCAGCAAGTGCCACACGCACAGTCAATAGGAAAGCATTTCTCAATGCTTTCCTATGGACGTTCTGCACGTTGGATGCGAATTTCGCATCCAACGTCGCAGAAGTGCCTCTAGCGGCTGTCAGGGAGACAGCCACTAGAGGTTGGATTAACCCTGCAATGTAAACATAGCAGTTTCTCTGAAACTGCTATGTTTACATCTGAAGGTTTAAAACCTAGGGGACCTGGCACCCAGACCACTTAATTGAGCTGAAGTGGTCTGGGTGACTATAGTGTCCCTTTAAGTTTTAATTCAAAAAAGGTTTTGTAACTCACCCCAAGTAATGGTCTAAATAAAACGGGGTTACGTATAAAAAGTGTTATGTTCCGATAAGAGATGCAAACAGGTAAAATGAGTCACCAATTGCCAAAATTTTTGCGACCCAATGTTGCCTTTTCCCCCCAATACATTGTTGCTATTTGCGTTCCACGTTGTCCTATTTACTACGCTTGAGGCTTGGTTACATACGTAACGCACCTATTGTTACCATTCACAGATCTCCCCTTGTTTTCACTTTTCCATTTGAACTCTTGTTAGGTTTGGTACATTATCTTGATTAAAGTTCCATAGATGTAGTGAATTGCTGAATGATCCATTTCACTTTGCATTCTTCCAAGGGTAATTATGTTTTGTTACTATCTTTCCAAGTGCTTTCTCTTCTTTCTTTGTGATGGGATCCCCCTCCACTAAACTAGACCCCTACTATGCCTGTCTGGAGACCTCCAGCGATAAGTCAGTTTGTACCTATTTGAGTTAAAAATAAAATCAAGTTAGGATGCACTTTAATCATTTAGTTTAAGATTTTGACACAAGTCAGTTGAAAACCACTTTAAACAAAGCTAAGACATGTTATCTCCTGTCTCTACTAACCCTAATACTGCGTGTATCATTCCGACTACTACTGTCTAAAGAAAAACTTCCCCTTCTGCAATAGAAGTATCAATTGTGTAATTCTTCGGACTTTAAGTGGTCTGAGTGCAGTGTCCCAGTCTCATTTAGTCCTGCAATGTAAACCATTGACTGTTTTTTTAGTAACTGCGATAATTACATTCGAGAACTAAGACTGGCTTGACTGCCTCTAGTAGTGGCAGTAATGCTTTCCTATGGGGAGGGCCTGCTGTTAAATACCGGAGTGTTTTTTTATTTTTTAAACTATGCAGAATCAACCTACCCTTACAGTGAACATGTTGATACTCTAGCTACTTAACGCTATCCTCTATACATACATTCTGATCAGGAAAGGTATATGTTGAATTATTCATTTGCTGAACCCATAATCCATTTTAGAATGTTACCAATTCAAAATACCTACTTAAAAATAAAACTTGTAGTAGATTACCTTGTGTATTTTAACATTGCTCTCTGCCATAATTTGTAAAAATTGTTTCCCTGTATTTTTTTTTTATTTCTTGCTTTGTGTCTTTGAATTTAATGCACAATAGTTACACCTGAGATGTTGACAGAAACCTAGACAAACCATCATTGAATCCCTAATTCCAATAAAAAATATTGTTAATTTCATTAAAATTGAAAAGTCCACAATTTTTTTACTTTTTTTAAATTTTATTTTACATGTTCAAAAACGATAGCGTGTACCTGAATACATGGCACTCCAATGTGCCGATTACAAGTGCCTAATGAAATCATCCCATTAAGAGAGGGAACACAGATTTTATTACACAAATCAGGTGAATGACATTGAAATAACCTTCCCTCTGTCCTCCAAAATGCTTCCTTACATCATTAGAGGCGCTTGTAATGCATTGAAAGACAATGTACATCGCGGGTTACATACATGACAGTACATTATTATAGGATTAAACAACAGGAAGCTGTCCAACTATTGTGCAGCAACAATTCCCATGATGCTTTGCCTCCCAAATCTAGCAAAGCATGATGGGGGGCTGGCGTCTGCAACAGCTAGAACGCTGCTTGTTGATTGCAATTGCATTATAAGATCAGATGGCTGCGTAACAGCAAAAAAAACAAACTAAAAAACATTAAAAAATTACAAATAGAAAATAATAAATAAAATACAGCAGCATTTTAAAAAAAGAAATCATGTCTTCTATCACAGTTTGCAATGTATTTGTCATAAGGAGAAAAGAAATATGTACATAATTAAAAGAAAGTGCATTTTAGACATTTCACGAACAGGGGGTCCAAAAGTACATTACTAAACAATGCACACTGGTCCTGCTGCATATATCTCTATATAAAAAAAAAAAAAAATAAACGAAAGAAAAACCGTAAACTCTAAATGTAGTCTGGAAAATGCTGGCGTTCAAGAAAATATGCTTTAAGCCCCTACACAGCTTTACAGACATTTAATTCATCAATACTAGTCTCTAAGATATTCAAGGCAAATTTCCTATAATTCATTCAGAGTATTGGCCTACACAGCCTGCCTTTTTTTTAGGATTCTAAACAGTATCCATCCCCATTCAGGTAAGCTCTGTTTAATTTTTAAGCTCTGTGTACTTTGGACTGGTATGTTGCTTCCTATCATGCAGGTTTTCCTTATGACGTACCTATGCGACACGGTCCAAGCCTTTCGGTTTAAAATGTGTACAGCCTTTAGAGAAAGGGTGATTTATTTATTTTTCTCCCGGCAGTTTTACCTGGGTTGTAAATATATCATTGCCACACACCGAAAGAAGGGAAGGTGTTACATGTGTGATAGGATAGCCTTGTTAAAGACTGAATGGAAGCTTGGTATTAAAGAATAATGGGCACAATAAATATTAAATTAGGCAGGGCATAGGGACAGAACATCCTGCAACAAACTAGGAAGAAATGCCTCTAGGAAAGCGTACCAGGGCTAAATCACTGAAATTGTGTAACTTTTTTTTTCTTAATATGAAGTATTTTTAACAGCACAGTTTGTTTATCCTCATTGGATTCACAGATCCTTATTAAATATGATTTCATAATAAAATGTAATGATAGATGCAACACAATTATACTATGGTATTTGGCAAAATGCATTATTGGAAAGAAGCTGCACTATAGATCCCAATTCACATTTCCTGTTGGGTAATAAACACAGGCCAGTTTATATGCTACAGTATTCCCTTACAGCCACACCAGGAATGGTTAATTAATCACAGCAGGAACACAGTCCAATACACTAATATAAGGATAAACGGCATAACACATGCCAGTCATTGTAAACAACTAAGCTGTACCTAGGACAGCCCGCCATGACATCTCTCAGAATACAAACTGTATAGATCAGATCTGGGCGTAGAGTAGATCCCGAGGTGCAGAATTAAAACTCCCATAATCATATGGGATGTACAGATTGGCCACTCCCCGTAAATAAATAAAATAGGGCTCAAATAGATTACGGGCAAGTGGTTCATTCAAGTAGACTGCCTGCATTGAGGTGGGGGAAAGTAAAGAGGGCGAAATGCAAAATAACAGTTGTGAAAAACAAAATGACTATTTAAAAAAAAAAAAAAAACCAAACATGCCCCTATTTCCCATTTTACATTCTGAAAGTAGTTCTCAAGGTCCAAAAGGCACTGAAACAAGGATAATCAATGAACACAGGAAGTGGACTACTGGAGTGACTGCTAATGGACCCTTCGGTGGCTTGTCTGCTTGTGCAATATAGAATGAGCTAGTTTACTCAACCTGAGCTTATAAGATTTTTTATTTACAGGATCATCTTGTATGTCTCTATGGGTTTCCAGAACAGATCACACCTGCAACTCACATTTAATTTGTTCTGGATATCCAAAGGTATAATACGAGGGACAACTATTACTACAAGACAAATCAGATTGTTCCTAATAAAACTGCATATATCATAATGCATTCAGATCACCTGTCTGAGTTACAAGCTCCAACTGTGAACACTATAAAGAGACACTGCTGTTGCACACACACATCCAGGTATAGATCGATAGATGTTTTGGTACACAATCCCAACAATTTCGTTGTCTCTCAGTGTATGCTGTTCCTGCTTACATTTTCCGGATGCAAGGTGTTAGCAGGAACAGCATACACTGAGAGACACAACCAAGTTGCTGGGATTGTGTACTGAAACATCTGCACAGAATATGGATTGGACCTGCCTAAATCCAGATGGGAGATACCGCAGAGGGTAGTTGAGAATGACAGGGCTAAGATCCAGACAGACAAGCAAGTACTGGCCAACCAACCTGACATTGTGATGGTTGACAAGGAACGGAAGACTGCAGTCGTGGTGCATGTGGCAATACCCACATGAGAAGATGGACAAATGCCAAGAATTAAAAGAAGAGTTGGAAAGGATGTGGAAAGTGATCGCAGTTGTAGTCCCAGCTGTGACAGGAGCACTTTGGGCTGTTACTCCTAAGTTGGGGAAGATTCCAGGTGGAACATCTGAGATCCCTTTCCAGAAGAGGGTAGCTCTAGGAACAGCTAAGATACTGCGCAGAACCCTCAGACTTCCAGACCATATACACCATGTAGAGAGACAGGCACACACACACACAGACAGAACACAACAGCACGGTCTCTATATTTTCAATAAAACTGTAGTGAAAAACATTGCACAGGCAAATTGAAATCCCGGATAAGTATTTTTGCTGTCTCCTACAAATAGGACGCCAGAAAAACAACGTAGAGTGTGTAAATTGACCCCAAGGGGCAGTGGGAATATATACAAAATATATTCCACAATTAACTACACAACATATTGCAACGTTCGAAACTTCACTATTGGGAGATTGATGTGTTTGAGGGATGCCACCAGTAGGAGATAAAACATTGGGTAGTAATGAAGGGGTCCCAGAAACACAAATTATACCAAGTCCATTTATAAAAAAAAAATAAAAAAACAAGCATAAACCTGGCACTTACTGCAAGTATACACAATAGGTCACTAAGCACTACAACACAATCAAATATACAAAATAAACTATTGTTTTATCCAGATGTTGGGGTATTTTTTGTTTGTTTTCTTATAACCTTTGACCTTTCAACTTCGAAAAAATATAATTTATAGAGAAAACGGACAGATAGATGGGTAATGTTTGATTGAATTTGTCAATGGCATTTTGCCTTAAATATACCTTATAGTAATTGCCTAATAGCCATGGATTCTGCTGGTTATATCGTATAAATCAGGATTATGGTCAAACACTTAAAGTCTTTTTTCATTCTCATGTTAATGGCGAGTCCTGATGACCCACTATGGAAATCTATGCCATACTATAAGTAACTGTTGAGAAAGGGAGATCTGGTACTCAATTTACTCTCTACCCCACACAGTAAGCACTGCACCATCTTGGGGAATAATCAATATTACTGTACACACACACACAACACAGACTTGGGAGATATCTCCAGGTAAAGAAATTGTTCCCAGATAGTGTAACCATAACTGTGAATTAGCCAAATACTGCCCAGAGCACTTGTGTCCAGATGCTAATTAGAGATTCTATTATTCAATAGAACGGTTAGGTTAGTACTTATTGTCCCTGTCTTAAGGATTTTGGATTGCAATGGAATTTACATTTTAATCAAATATTGAAAAGTGACATTACTTTTAAAGGGACACTCCTGGCACCATAACAACTTAACTGGATTGCAGTTGTTATGATGTAAGGAGGTCCCGGGTGCCGATTTACCCATTAAGAATAGATTGTGAAAAAGATTTGTAACTTATTTACCGTTTTTTTTAACAGGTAACTACTGATGGACTCAAATTACATCATACCCAGTTCAGACAAGGCAAAATCTAGTCAAACATTGTAAATGAAAAGCAGAAATAAATGCTGTTTCATTTCTCAAACTCTCTGTATGCTTTCTCTATGCAGACTACACAGTGCAAAGGACAGAGCTTATAACAACGACATTTAGGGAGCGAAAATTAAAGGCGCCCAGTTGCTGAATAAAAAGTGTGGATTTTTATATAAAATCTTGTTTTTCACACATTAACTCATATTTGTTCAATATAGGTATTAGTGAACATAATAAGAAAAATGACGAGAATAAAATCTCCCCTTTCAAGGAACACTCCATTGAAAATGATTTTATTTTTAACAGTTTAGTAGATAGACCCCCCACAGAAAACATGCTTGTATTTTCCCTGCATTTTTCTTTGGGAGTATATGAGTGTATGCTAGCAAAAGCTGCAGATCTGCTCTCAACAGCCACTGCAAGACCTCTGCTCATTCAGAAGCCTCTGTGCTGGAGGTGGGCGCATGCGCACAAGTTCACAGCTTTTCAATGCTTCTCAGTCAGCTACAGTACAACATAAATAATGAGATTATCAACACGAAGATTCTGAAAGATTGAAAAGCAAGCACACTGAATATTGTACATCTTGTAAAGGTAAAATTCACAACACTGTGATAGAGGACATGTAAATACTTTGAGCTCTACATCAATAACATTATACACATGTACATACGTGTGTCACTATATAAAAAACAATATAAAGAAAACTGATACTATAAGAAAAAAAAAATCTTTACACATATTATAGGATCAGTGAATAATCTTAGAGGCAGTAGAATTTGCCATGCTGAGAAAGCAGCAGTTGTAGTTACATGGAGGCTCACGGCCAGTATATTTCCAGGCACACACAAAATTAAAAGGAAGCGTTATCGGTAGCAACCAATACATGTACAATGAGTCTGTGAGTTTCCTTATTTGTGTATATATATTATATATATATTTATAAATATTTATATATGATATAATTTAGTATCATGACATGCAGTTATGAAGACAATGTACTGTACAATATAATACAAAGTAACAGGGTTGCAGCTTGCTCAGGAAAGGCGGATTAGTAAGCCTCACACTTTTAAAGTCACGTACATATGTTAAACGCATCTCTGTGCTATAGAACAATGCAATGGTCCTCTAGCACAGCAGAGGTTACAATTAAACGACACCGAGGAAAGGTAATTCAGCAAAAAAAAAAAAAAAAATTTTAAAAAAGGTTCCCTTATTTATCCTCATTCTGTCATTCCTAATAGCTAAAGGGAATCGCAAAAACAAACAAAAACACAAGGCGTTCTGCCACACATGAAGTAGACAATTGTTAATACGAAGCATATAAATATATACGGTATGAGTGTCATACAATCCACTGCTTACTTATCAATTAACAAATATAATGTGTTGCTGGCTCCTTTAAGATCATGGGGTGTACAGACATACATTCATAACATCTGCCCTTTGAAAATCATTAGTACATGGTCAACCGCCTCCAGGAAGGGACCTGAGCCTGCTCAGGTTATTGGGCACTCGTTACAGTTTTAATTTCAAACTAATTCAGAAAAAGTCCAGTGGTCCCCAATGAAGGGTTTGAAATGACTATTACGAGACTAGCAGTACCAGCATTTGCACGGCTTTATTACAATTACCGGTTGTTGTTTCTTTAAAGATTTCCTGAGGCACAGCAACATCTACGTGAAGCACACATAGAATCTTCTCCTATTCGCGTTCACACAGAAGTGAATTCACATAATTCACTCCGAACTGACAACTGCTCTGAATGATCAATAAAGCTACAAAAAAAAAAAAAAAAAACATAGAAAAAAGAAAAACTTCTAAATGGCACATCACATTCAGATCAGGTCACCATTGGAAATCAGGAGACTGGTCAGGACTGTACACCACACAGCTGCATAGGTTAGAAATATAGGAAATCTAATGCATCTATACATTTTACATTATTCCTCTATAGAGTGTGTATGTATGGATATAAGTACAGTAAAGTTTGTAGTGTATAGAATGTATGAATAGGAAGCTCTGTAGATAAAGAACATTTTAGGGCAAAGTACACCTTATCCCTGGAATTAATGCTACTCTATAGGGATTGACCGACAAAATCTGGCAAGAATTTACTCCATAAATCAAAGATTACTCCTATTACATTGCAAGTCAATGTTCCCCCTAAGCACGATTCAGAAGAAGTTGCACAGAATGCTAACGATTGATCTCTTAACTGCTACAGTGCTGGACGGCACTGGAGTACCGCATAAAGCATATTTTGGAAGTTTTACCAGATTAAAGTGCAGCCAGATCATTCTACAGCTTGACCCTGAAGAAAATACCAGTTTTAATCAGGGTTTTTATAACATAGATGCAAACCTTTCTAGCTGTGGCGACAATTAACCTTGTGTTCATTTATTAGCGAGTCAATCGCAACAGGCTAACAGAGAAGCTTAATATCTAAATAGGCAGAGGTTGCACTAGACAAGAACATGTGCCACTTTATACACTTGGACGTTGTATTCTTAAAGCACACATAGAACACCTGTAACATTTAATATTTTTCAAAAACGATTAAACAAAAATATGCAAAGTGCTGTCCTAAAAACTCAATGTGCCAGCATCCCCTAGAACAGTGATTCCTAAAAATTCTTGGACCAAGACATTAAGGGGGGGGGGGGACTTTTAAGGCTCCCAATTTATTTAAATTTTAAAATAATTTGTCGGTGGCTTATGTATACCTAGCTACATTAACTTACTAGTTCTAATTGTTTGCCAAATTGGAATCTCAATTTTAATCCTGACCCTTATTTAAAAAAACAAAACAAAAACCTATCGATGCCCTCTATTTAGTCCACTATATGCCAATTTCCCACCAGATTCCATGGCAACGGTGTTAAAAACCGCTACCCTAAAGAAAACCGCTCTGGACTGCCGTACGTTGATTGGCTGGTGCAGTTGTTGATCTGACATCACAGCTTCCTTGATTCTATGAGCTACAAAATGGCTAACTTTTAAGAAGAAGTCTGGAATAATTTCCATTGAAGCTCAGCCCACTTGCTTGTCAGTCTTGCTTTGTGACAATATCTGCCAGGAGTTGCCTATGCAATCAAACCTTTAAAAGGAAAAAATAAAAGTCTAAGAGATATTGAAACATTCTTTCCTACAGAGGAAACGTGAATTGTATTTACCCGCTGCTGGGATGTACATAATTACTCTAAGCTACCCTTTTCCTGTTTGGGTTTTCAAGCATGTAATAAACCAGACTGTCTTACTGCTGCAAATTTTCTCATGTGGACCTGCACACCTCCATCTTCTACAGTAATTCATCATAACAAATTTGCAGAATCAACAGGAACAATTCTAACAGCAAATCTTTCTATTCCCGCAGCAAAGGACCAATCTTTGCAAACCCTAAAACCCTACTAAAAACATTGCTTGGTGTGGGCAATCGTCCACATCGAGTACTAGATAGGCCTCTTTCTTGCCAGTAATGTCCCTTTTTCCTAGGCTAGTCCTTCTTTACAGACGCAACGAAAGTAAGCCATGTATCACAATTCCCCCCAAAAAGGTGTTCACTACATTAACTTTCTTTAAAAAACAAACTATAAGCCATATCTTAACCTTTAAAATATCAGTGATATCCGCATCATATGAAAGGTACAATTATATAATAGTGCCAACACGCTCTTAATAAAATGGACAATAAAAGACAACCAACTTAAGACTCCAGTAAACAGCCATCCTGCTTTTTTAGTAGATCCTACAAGAGGTAGCGTGTGCTAACACTGCAACATATCCCATTATTATCGAGCGGTTTTAACATTATTTTACAGTCACTTAGATGAGCAATATCTACAATACTCCATATTGGGAACCATAAAGATGGTAGGCGTTTTAAAATGACCACCAAATCAAACATTTAACACTGTATCACTGAGCAATGCAATAAATATCAGTCTGATAAAAGAAGTGTCTCTTTCAATCCAGAACACAAGTTTGAGATCCCTGACAAATATCCTAGATTAATACAATATTAACAGAGTTATGCATAAAAATGGGGCAATCGCATGAGATAAACAATAGGTTTCCACGGTGACAGCTTCACTTATACAATTTTAAGCAAAAATACATTTTAAACATAAAATACCTAAACCAGGAAAAAAAAAACCAGCATCTCCAAGTCTTAAAACAGTTTTCGAAAGCAAGTAACAAATTTATCATCATTTTAAGGACCAATCACGTTAAATCAGCATCCTTGATGTCTGAACTACACAGCTCGTTCTTAGAATTATTGCTTCTAAATAAGCAGCATTTTCCTGGCATAGAATCTCTGTGGACTGTGATGATGAATTAGAACGTCACTAGTCCTTACAGAAATTGTTTTTTTGTTTTTTTTTAAACTGCAGCTTCTGTATCGGACATCATTGAAAAAAATGGACGTTAAATGCCATGTTATCCTGAACAAGTACTCCCCATGCATCAGAATGCAGCCAACAACTTGCTGCTAATTGCAGTGAGTGACTCATTTTTCTATGGAACTGAAAGAGTGTCTTCTAACCAGTACCAATTACAAAGCCACAAACCTCTCACATTGCAGTCAATTCAACAGAACTTTATTGCATGACCTGCATGCCGCCATTGGCCACTGAGTGACTGGGACTAAGATTGACACCAACTAGCTCGATCAGATGTCAGGAAGGGCTGTGCATTAATCAGCAAGCATATGGAATGACATGCTCGTTTTACAGTACTCACGTTGTATCTGGATGATAACGTTTATTTCGTTTATCAAAGGAACTAAACGTAAAAAAGGGAATGAATGTCGCGGTTTAAAGTCACTTTAAGGGGTAAATTATTAAAATCGAAACACAAAACTAAAAAGGCTTGTAACAGAAGGAAATGCCACATTTCATACAGGTCATCATGCAGCGCTTATTTGTTAGAAGGAATTTTACGCAACGATTCACAGTATTTATTTTTATAAGTAGAATAAAACAATCTGAACCAATCAATTGAATGATCTTAGAATAGCAATATGTTTACGGAGTAATAATCCCGATCTCAACATACAGCAGTGGATTCAGACTTATGTGGTTGGTGGGGAGCTTTGTAAGACAAAATAGGACAATTGCATAATTCTTATTTTTCAAGATTCCACTTGTCGAATTTTGCCTTAAATCGGTACAATGTAACTAGAATTGGCTATAAGCATTCCTCCATTAATCCCAGTGACTGCAAATCTGTCTGCACAGAAGAATAACTATACTATAGGGCTTATATTCTCGACCCGGGGAGACTAACCCTTTCAAATACTCTTTACAGACCCACTTTAACCATGAGTGCTAAGGAATGAACACCCAAAAGGCTAATCATGCATTCAGATTACCCCAGAGAGGTGAAGCATGCACATCTGGACTTACAGCTGGTGAACGCAGTGCTAAAAAGCTCTGAAAATGTTCTAGTTTGCATTTTGAAATGTCAGATGAGGTCATGACTTGTGACCAGAGTAATGCTAAAACAGCTAATGCTAGCATGAAGACTTTAAAGCATAGCAAAGGGTTAAGTATAAAAGAAAAACACACACACATATATATATATATATATATATATATATATATATAATATATAGATAAAAAAACATTTCTCCTATGAGCAGATTTGGTTTAAGACATAATGTCTTTTAACTTCATTAAATAACAAATGATGGACACCAAAGGAAATCTGTATGGAGAGACCCTTTGACAAATCCATGATATCCCAGTTAGAGGATACATTATTTCTTGGTCCTTAATAAACCACACGGCTGTAACTGCTTTGTTTAATGTCTACCAATCTCTGCAACCCCCTGTATGATAACATGAGCATTTATATTACAATGCAACCGTTCACTTCCAGTCTCCAAGTTCTCGCTCTGAGAGACCCTCTTACCACGCATTTCTATGTCAAGTAGGAAGATATGCTGAAGGTATATATTAAAAATGAATTAGAAAAGCAACGTTCTAATCTGCTGACCATACATTTTACTAGGCTGGCGGTGCCAAAGAGGTCTTGTAGAGAAACTCCTCCCCAATGTGATCCCAAATAAATATTCCACTAGTTCCCACACTAGTCTTCTTTTGAACATAGAGATCAACACTAATTTGGATTTCATTTGAATTATATAGTAACATACATAACATGCATTACAAGAGGACAACGGGTTGAGGGGAATGGGGTGGAACCAAGAAGCTTTGCTGCAGAGCTGACAAAGCCTCGTTACTATCTGCTAAGTTTACTGGACACTTTGACCTCCCGAGCAGAAGACTTTCCACGGCTGGTTTTGCTTCCTGTGGAATGGTGACCGCTGCCCGGTCCCTTTGATATGTTTTTACTCTGTTTACTGTAGCAATGATCCTGCTGGCAGGATCTTCGTGAAGAAGATGAACCAGAGAGGCTGGGGGGTGATTTGCTGCGGCCTACATGTGGGGAGGAGCTCCTGGCATCATAGTGGTGAGGTCGTCCAGCTCTCGAAGAGGACGAACTGTTGGTTCTCGGTAAAGAAGAGCTGCGTGGTGAGGCGCTTGGACTGCGCCGGGGTATCACAGGGCTTTTAGGAGGAGTTTTAGGACTATGGGGGGATCCTGGGCTTTTAGACTGAGAGGAGCTGCGGGTTTTCTGGGATCCATTCTGAAGGATCTGAGCGAGTCGGGAGAGGAGGTCTGAGTCAGAGTTTCCAGAACCCAAAACTTTGTATCTGCGCATCCTTCAGAGGAAATAGAGAGAGAATAATTAAAATACATATACAAATATATGCAGATATATGCAGGCATCAGTTTTTTTGAAAAAAAAATATAACCCTAATTCTGGCCTTGATTATATATTTTTCAGTAAGTTTTTCAAATGAAATAATATTTTTAATAAACTACAACTTACAATTATTCAATATGTTGAAAAATATTGTAATTGTTTTTATATATGATAACTTTTTTGATATAGTAATATTTCGAAAAAAAATCTTTTTGAAGTTTATCTAAAAATATTACATTGTTTGAAAATCTTACCAAAAGTACATTTTCTGCTACTTTTTTTTTTTTTTTTTTAAACTATATATATTCTCATCTTTTTACATTTAATTATGGAACACATCTACCCCAGAATATAGCAGTATACCAGAATAACTACACTGAAGTGTATCTTCTGTTGAGGTTAATAATTAATAGCTTAAGAATAAATATCTTCTGTTAGAGAGTTAACAAACCAAATATGAATGTTAACACAATCATCTGTAACAAATAAACTAATTAACAAAATGCACTTGTCTTCAAAGAAGTTGGTTGCATACCTTTTGGCACAGATCTGTGAGGTTAAGTGGGTAGTGGTGGAACAGGGAGGAACAGATAGTGTCATTGTGTGAGGATGGTGGGGACATCTCTTCCCCATCCAGAAAACACAGCTACTTAGTTCTAAGGTTTAGTTAAACGGCCATGCTAGCACGCATCACGACTCCAGCTGTTTGGGATAATAGTAAATTACATTTTACCACTAGCTGACACTTTCTGTTAATCCCCTCTGGCCATCACTTCTAAATTCTCCCTGCTACGGGTCTCCAATCCCCATTTTAACCTTTACATCGTAAGCTCTTGGGCTACCTAAGCACTTAGTATAAAAGAGATTTAATGGCTAGATATCAGCTCACATGAAGAGCCTTCTTTACCCTTTGTATTGTATGTTTTTTTTTCCCCTCCCATAATTGTACAGCGCTGCGGAATATGTTTGCGCTTTATAAATGCCAGGAATGATAATAATAATTGTAAAGGCAATTGGGTAAAGTGCACGAAGAACTAACTCCTAGCACTAAAACTGGCTTATCACTACAATTTATAACACACCAGAGCTGTCAGTGAGGAAGAGTAGATGCTCACTTCTGGCTCTCTCAGGTAAATTTAGTCCAAGACATTGGTGTCGTGTGCACATGCACAACTTGAGCTCAGCTCCCTATTCTCACTGGAGAGAGCCAAGCATGCACCAACCAGGACTCAACAAAGCCATGCATATTAAACCGTGAACTAGACTTTGTAAAATATATTATATCACAGAGTAGCTCCACTCTCCTATCTGATGAGCGCTGGACACGTAATTATTTGGAAAGTAGTCTCTTATTGATTAGGGAGGGCCTGACTAAATAGTGCTCCAGTAGGATATTTTAAATGCAAGCAACTTTTTTTATTTAAAGGGACACTACAGTCTTTATAACAACTTTAGCTCAATGAAGCAGTTTTGTATAGTGTATAGAGCATGCCGTTTCACTGCTCAATTCTCTGCAATTTAGGAGTTAGATCACTTTTTTTCTGCAGCACTAGCCGCTGTGGCAAGGGCTGCAGAAACAAAGTGATTTAACTCCAAACTTTCAAAGTAAGTTACACCTGATTGAAAGTGAAACCATTTTTGTCATGCAGGCTATGTCAGTTACATCCAAAGGAGGTGTTTTGCAGGGTCTAGCAAATTCTAATCTAAACAATATTAGATGACTCTTTACAGGAAGTATTTAGGAAGGATGTGTAAGTCAACTGCAGGGAGGTGTGACTAGGGCTATTTAAACAAAAACATAAAAATAATAGCGAAATGAGCAGGGAGACTGCAGTGGCATGACCTATACACCAAAACTGCTTCATTAAGCTAAAGTTCTTTTGGTGACTAGAGTGTCCCTTTAAATAAAATATGATGGTTATTATTATTGTAACAAAAACATTTTTTAACCAAGTCTTTACCGTGCTTCCACCCCTGGTCGGGTAGGCGGTTTTCCAGGTGGTGGTCTTGGAAGGAACTGAGTTGAAGGAGAACTACTGAGCTGATCACTACTGGACCAGGAAACTGGACGTGGTATTTTGCTCTTCCTCATCTGTGGGCTGTGGGATGCCAAAATTCCATCATCGGACGACCTTTGAATATGTGCATCCAGTGCCGATTTGGAGAGAAGGATATTCTCTTCTGACAAAGGTGGGACTTGCGGAGAAGACTTTTCCTCAAGAGATTTGTCAGAGGCACTTGAGAGGTCACAGAGAAATGATTTAATCTGTCGTTTCTCCATTAGCAGCCGTGCAAGGTCGGTTTGGTACGCCTTTTTTAGAAGAAGCTTCTCCTTTGCAGAGATTGGAGAAGAGGACTCTGATGTTGTCTCAACCTCTTGAGCCAAAACTGGAATTCTGCTCTGCCTGGTTGTAAAAGATGGCTTTGTGAGATCTTTTTTACTTTTCTGAAATCCATCACTCAAGTCCAACAATTCTCCGTTATTTAGGCATTTCTGATCTTTGTCGCTTTCTTCATCCAGTAACATGGACAAGCTCACTCTGTGGTCAAGAAATCCATTAGCAGCACTAACATCCTTTACTTCATGGAAACCATTTTGCTGACCTTCCCAAGAACTTGCTGTACAAAGTTCCACAAAATCAACTTCTTGCTTAGTGGCCTCAGTAGCTTCTGGCTTCAGTATTTCTAGGTCCGAATCTTCATTTGGCAATGTGCAAAAAGTCCTTGACTCGAAAGGTTGATTAACAGATGGCATAACATCCGGTGAGGATTGATAGTGCTTGGGAGAACATCCATGTGAATTTAGACCCTTCCTTTCTTCATTCATGGCCTCCGTCACACCAGTCTGAGAACCTAAATGAGATTTTACAGGCGAACTGGCGCTGTTCCTCTCATGCAACATTTGGTCGTACTCATTAACAAAGTTTGCTTGGCCTGAGTCTTGGGATTTGACACATGACTTTTCCTGGCTAGTTAAGCGCAGCTCCAGATCTGCTTTGTTTATGCTAATACCCAAAACATTTTCGGTTTCTTGTGGTGAGAACACTTCCAGAACATGGGAGTCCCGATCTCTCTTTTCCAAATTCTGGGCACACTGAAAGCTTTCTGAAGCAGACTGTGTGGATGTTACTGAAGGACGAGGTATCGTCATCTAGATTTCAAAATAAAATAAAGACAGAAGCAAATCCATGAATAAAATAAAAATGATAGATATTTGCACAAAACACAACCAATCTATTTTATTATTACACAAGTGTTAAAGAGATGCCAATATTAAGGTGGCTCTTTCACTAGAAGAGATCCTGAGGGATTTCTTGCTTAACGCCGTTCCTGGCACCCTGGACCGGTTTGTATTAAGATTTCCACCAATTTAAAGATTCTAAGAAATAATGTCTTCTGCCTTTCCTGAATGTGTGCGTGAAATCACGCATCTACTGGAGGGTTATTGGTTTAGCGTATTTGTGACAATCTTTAAAAGGGAAGTTACACTAAAATCTAGAACAAAATACTTTTAATAATAAATGTACAGCAAAGTTTGAAACATAGTAAAACCTTTAATACAGCGATTGCACGTGACACTGAATTGTAGGTGTTTGTAAATGTCAGAGCATTGCTACAACTTGCAAGTGCCACCATGTGGCCAACAAAGGTTACTACTATGAAGCACGCTACCATGCATTGGCAGATATGGGTTTTCTTTGTGAAATAAAGCCTTAAAAGTGCAGATTATAAACTTCGTTATAAATTTATATGCTTCTCTGCACATAATGAGCAATCTCTTAACATGTCAACATTTAAACTGCACATTCATATGGATTAACCCCAGGAAATAATTCTTAACCTTTTGATTTGTCAGGGGAATCAAACCAATTACATGTAACAAGTGATCATTTTTTTAATTGTAAAATTAAATTTAAGGAAATTAAATTATGCTACAAACAACTTATGGTCAATGCTCCGTGAACAAGATGGGTCTGTTCCCACAAATGAGCATCAACCTGAATGATGTGTTCCCGTATTGTAACTCGACCTCCATTCCCAGGTTCTTATAGTAATATGCGGCATCACAAATCTTTAGCATATTTACACTGCTTTATCCACACATACTAATTATATAGAACATGGGGTTTTATATTATTTTTGGGATACTTCTTTTTAAAAAGGGATTGGAAAGTGGCTAATGTATTTTTAAAATGCCCAAAAAGGATGCGATTTTTAAAACCTTCTGTTGTACCAGTTAAGATTGCATAATACAATCTGGGCTGAAAAAAAAGACGAGATTTTTAGTGTCTATACTGCAATAAAGTTAACTCACTTTATGCGGTCCTACAAACATTACAGAACCATCGTTCAGCTTCTTCAGTCTCACTGAATCAATGATTGGCGCAGCGTGGAAATTTCCTCACATGCAAAATAGCCCTCAATGATTCTCCGTGGGAAGCATTGGATTAGCTGAGATCACCACTACTGATGATCTCAGCCAGAGCAGGAGCTCTAAAATGGTTTTACTATCTACATCGGGGTGGGCTTCAGGGCACTCCTGGCACCATAACCGCTATAGGGCGGTTATAGGGCGCTGTAGTGGTTATGGTGTTCCTTTAAGCACATTAATAAATGGATAAAGTGTCAAGGTGCATACCTCAAACTATTCATATTATTTTCAAACCTTAGGAAGCCTAGAGGAAGAGATGCAAAGTAATCTTAAAATATCAAACTATTCTCAGAGTAGTCAACAGGCAGCTTCCCAGCTGTTGTAGAACTGCTTCACCTGTTGCAGGTAGCGAACATGTGGAGAGTTACCTGCTGTCAACCCTGCTTTCAAAGCAATACAAGCTTTTTCAGTACCAGATACAGTATAGCAATGTAGAAATAATATATTTAATTCAATATCATCTAGCCCCCATGATGAAACTGTCACTATACATCCCGGGGTCTCTATGTTATTACCCAACTCAGTGGTACTCATTTTACTGACCTCAGAAGACGAAAGGCTGAGATGAAATTGCTGGGAATCGAACCTGCAACTCTCAGATACTGAAGTTGGAGGGCTAACTGCTGAGCTATCACACCGGTTCTCTATGTAACTCACTGTCTAAGTGCCAATAAATTTATCTGTCAAACATTTTCAACTAGAAAAAAGCAGCATTTAGTTGTCAATAACTAGTACATAATATTAATAATAGCACAAGACTGAGATCACGGATTCAATTTTTCACCTATACATTTAAAGACACACACACAGTACTTTCAACATTACCACGTTTTTAAAAATATTATTTGATGGAAACATTTAACAAGACCAAATTATTAAACCAGACATATTGTATGCCAAAGTGTCAGTCCCTTTTATTTTCAAACTCTCATAATAGTTTGACTAATTAATGAAGGCGTTAAAGGGACACTGCCATTAAAATGAAGTTAATTGTTTGCCGATGTTTACAATACACTCTTCTGTGGCAATTACTGGTAAGTAATCATGTGACAGGTTGGCTTACCCTCTGCAAACATCCGGAGTTAGACTGCTTTACATGACTTTGGTTTTAGAGATATTTAGCTAGGTTTCAAAAGAGCATCTATTACGGTCAAAAATGCATAGTCTTCTTCCAAAAATGTTGGTTTTCTTGACTCCCTAAATAGAGTATTTTAGCCCTGCCTATAGTCTTTTAAATATTAGTATGGGATTCAGAGTCTGGGTCAGGGCCGTCCATAGGGAGGTTGAGCAGGGCCTTTTCTCTTAAGACAGTGGTGTTTTTTTGTTATTTAAATGTTTTTCACAGTACAAAGCCCATTATAAAAGCTGATCGAGTGGGGCGTACCAGGGTATAGCATTTATTCTTCGTCGTAAAACACTTTCAAAAACATATATAAATATTAAACATATATAAACACATTTATATTATAGCAAGGAGTGCAGCGCTATTATGAAACATTGCGTCAGGGATGGGAAAGCCAGGATAAATGCATTTCATGGCCAGACGGCGCGAGGAGCTGTTTGGGTGCCGATTGGTCCAGCACCAGAATAAAAGAACATATGGAGACTTTCACTTTCCACTAACTCTTGGGATTTTATCTTTCGTTTTATTGGAAAAGGAAGACATATAGAGATCTACACCGTGCTACTTTTACCCAAGTCTCTTTCCAAGACATATTTATACCAGAATAAAAAGTGCCAACTAGAGCAGTTTCCATGAAAGCCACTAGGGAGGCAGTGAACAGACAGATGGCACTGGATTTCTCGATACTCATGTACTTGTACGGTTTTCCTTCATTAAAACGCACGCTTGGAACGTGTGACGTCATCGCGTTCAGAGCACAATGACGACAAACAGATGCTGAATCAGGAAGTAAAGACAAAAGAGGATTGGAACCTTCTGTCAAAGAGAATAACCTATAGGCTCATTCTATGGATAATCAGAGTGGTTTAAATGGGGGAGGGGTGGGTGGTTTTTATTTTTTGGATTTAAGTTTTTTATTGTTTTGACTGGTGTATACACACAGCTACTACCCTGACCAAGTTCCTGGAGGAATAAAATGTGTAGGATTGATGGACTGGTATTTCATTATGCTTTTACCATTATGTTTCCTGTTTTAAACTTAAATGTAAGTTAATAAATTAATCTTCAGAACTTTATCTTCCATTTGCACTACAATCTTTGCATCCATGGTCCAACGCATTGAAGTGGGGATTGATCTGGATACACTGGAGGGATATCTTCAGCATCACCGAAGGCTTGAAATGTCAATCAAATGTTGAGTGGCCAATTGAACCAATATATTTGTATTTATTTGTACACAGTTAAGCACTATGATGTGCCTTTCTCACCTTTTTGAGCAGAATCACCCCTATTGTGTTCTATATGTCTATCTGAAGATCAGAGGAAATCTTCAAGGTGGACCTTCTGTATTATCATCCTATTTTGGGGACATTTTTGTGATTGTGATCAGGTAGTTATTGTCACTATTGTTTTATTTCCTCACAACTTCCACACCTGTTTATAAATAATGACAACTAACCTTCTAAATATTCAAAGAGGTAGAAAATCTCGATTCGAGAATATGTTCTTTAAAAGACAGGAGACTATAACTTTAAAATACCATTTTTATTTTCTCAAATTAGAAAGATTGATGAAGAAAGAAACCAGAAAATGGTAGGAGATATATTTAAAAGGATATTCCTAAGGATTAATTCCTAGGGGTCTAAATGTGGGAAAAACTCCAACATGTGGTATTGATATAATATAGAATTCATAAGAAGATGGGATGAAGTTTTAGGAAATTGTTCCCAAAGCCTCATAAAGTTGTTAATAGAATATGAGAGAAAAAAAACAGACAGGTTATTGAGGAGAAGATCGAAAACCCTAGAAACACAGGAGGATGCTCCAAAGTTTAGAGAAAAGGAACAGGAAATCAAAGTAAAATAATTAGAAGATAAAATTAGAGAGCCAAACAATTTAAAAAATGCTCAGAGATTGGATTGATAAAAAACTATAATCTTTTTAAATACCATCAGATACGTTATTTCCATAATAAGTATAAAAAGACTTTTAAAAACCTCTAAGAGATCTAATTATAACAATAAAGGTTTTGGAAAATCAACCCCCACTCAGATAAATAGAAAAATAAAGGTTTTCACTAGGGTTTTTAATCGGAGAATCTATTCATGAAGACATTTACTCTTCACCTAATTCCAGTCTACCATCTACTTCTCACCACTCTGAAATTAGAAAATTCTATGCAAAGGCAGCAGGTAAATTGGAAAAAGCTTATGGACACAGAAGAACGTTTTTTTTCGGGAGGAAGGCAAACCAAAGAGAAGAACGAATAACAGATTTTTTCAAAGCATGCAACAACCAGTGGGAGAACAAATTTGTCCCTCTAGCGGACTTAGTGGACACTCCACCAAAACCAAAATGGTCAGAGACAGTCTCTGAAGGAAGGAAAATGGAAGAAGAAGGTATTAGAAAAGGAATGGGTATCTATAATCTAACTAATATTGATTTAACTGTTGAGAACTTAAAAGGCACATGAAAAAGGTCTTACATTTGCACCCAATAAAACAATGAATACATTTGAGACGTATATAGACCTACAAAAAATACATAAGGAAAATACCCTCAAAAAAGTGGTTCCTTAAAAACAAAAAGGTAGAGGAGTTCCCTTCCAAAAATGAGGAGAGTGATACAGAAAAAGAAAGGTTAAAAAATAAATAAATCACCTTTTTCTCCAAATGGACAAAAAAGGTCATCATTGGAAAAAAAGGTCATCATTGGAAAAAAAGGTCATCATCGGAGAAAAAGGTATTAGCTATGATATAGAAAAGATAAAGGCAAAGCAGAAAAATAGTAAGAACAAGTTTAAATTAAATAAAGAAGTTGTCAATATTATAAAGCATGGACAACATTACAATAAAAGTAAGCTGATAAATGCGGTGTAATAGTCATATGATGAAATAATGCCTCAAGGAGGCAAACCGAATTCTGGGAGATTGGAACAATACCCTACTTAAATATTAAACAAAGCTTTAAAATCCCTACTAATTTCGCCTCATAGGAAAAAAATAAATGAATGTCTAAAAATAATATAGAATACCTTTATAATCAACATCGGATTCCGATTTTGTACTTTTTACCCCAAAATTCTGAAGAACCCCCTCGGCGCCCAATTATTAGTGGGATTAAATCAATTACAGCACATATATCTGAGTTTATTGACTATCACAAAAATATGCACAAAAAGAACATTCCAATTTAAAGGATTCCTCCCATATTTTGGTAATAATGGAAGAAAAAAAATGGGAAAGGGACTTTATATGGGTCACAATTGATGTAACCGGCCTTAACACGGTCAGAAAACACAATTTAGGCACTTTGTGTTAGAGGATAATACGGTTTCATGCAATTTTAGAGATTCTATTTATATAATGCTTAATCCATTTAAATGCCTAATAGCACTTTTTACTTGCAAAAAAAAAGGGCAAAGTGAGACCATGTTTGATCCAACTTCGTGTTGGGGGATATGGCTGGGTTGCAAACCTGGTCTTCTAGAAACGCTTTATAGATAACATTTTGTTAAGATGGAAAAGGACTCGAAAAGAACTACACACATTTTTAAAGTCTATAAATGTAATTCAATATGGTTTTAAAATTCACTCACATATATGGCATTAATTACATTGATTTTTTTGGGGTATCACTTTCTATGTAGAAGGGGAAACAATTCAGTCTAAATGCTGTTATCTCGTGCCTTAACTATTATAATCTGCTTCTCAATGGTCTTACGCCATACCAACTGGCCCCATTACTATCTATAATAAATGTGAACGCAAGGCTGATCTTCCTGTCTTCCAGCACATCCCATGCCTCCCCGCACCTTGGTCACCCATTCTTCTTCTTCTCCTGGAATGGTGTCATCTAAAAAAAAACTAACCCTTCATTGTTCTAGCGACCTACATTTTCCCATACCTCTTGTGGCACTTTACCCCACTCCCACTAGGATGTAAACTCGTTCGAGCCGGGCCCTCAGCACCCTCTGTTCGTGTGTGTCCAACTTATTTTGTTGCAAATACATGTCCATTAGTCCACCTATTGTACAGTGCTGCGTAATTTGATCTTACTTTAGGAACAATAATAATAATTTGTTTAAAAATGGAGGGCAACAGTTTCTTACATACAAAGAGCAGCCAGCACAACAATTGGCTGAGGACAATACCTAGTATAAGACGAAATTGTTTAAAAGATCCGGATTATGCAGAACAAGCACAACATTTGCGAAAGAAGTGAATGCCACTCTCCTGGATAAAGAGAATAAAGCAGTCCGCATTTTAAATAGAAAGGACCTAATAAAAAAAAAAAAAAAAGCTAAAAAACAAAGACGATTTTAAATTTGCATTTATTACTCATTTCCGCTCACAGAACCAACAGGTTAAAAATAGTATATATAAACATTCAAATATTTTATTGAGAAATCCTGTTTTAGGCCCATTTCTTCCAAAATATTCACCAGCATTCTACAGAAAAATAAAACATTTAAAAAATATTTTAGCCCTGCGCTTACCACCAAATAATCTGTTAAAAAAAAGAAATTAAAGGTTTTAAATGTAGGAATGCTTGTAAAGCCTGTAAAACCAAAATATTATTAAAATAAAACAATTTAGAAGTGCAATAACAGGGTAAAAAAAAAATGATACAATCAAATATTAATTGTAACGAGAAAAATGTGATGTAGATGTTACAATGTCCCCGTGGGAAACAATATGTGGGGAGGACATGTAGAAAATTAGAAGGGAGAATTGTACCTTGTTGTTTTATACATCTGTATATGTACTGCCAGCACCTTACCATTTTAAATTACTTTAATTATTTTTAGTGATTTAGAAATAAAGGAGTTTTGATATATAGTTTAAAAAAAAATAAAAAAATGTATATATACTTTTATTTTTCATATACCCTACGTTTAAAGGCAAGCAGGATTGCATCTACATTTTTAATAGATATGGGATCTCTAGGTTTGTATGTTTTATTCTATACGCTTTCCAATATATTGATCCATTCTCTACACCCATCCCCTACTATGTTCTTCCACACATGCTCTGAGGACTGAGGCTCTGAGTATGGTGTTCTATCCTCCCGCTTGGGAGTTGGAACACAAGTCAAATCCAATATTGCACCCAAATGGAACACACTCCGGAACGCAAAAGACATCGCGAATCTAGTGCAATAATGTCTCAAGGGTGGAGCAACACATACAAGCTTTTATAGTCACCAAGGCCTATTTACATGGGACGCACGCTTAGAACACATGACGTCACCACGTTCCAAGTGCGATGATGTGAAAAAGAGGCCAAATCAGGAAGTATAGACAAGAGGATTGGAACCAGATGTCAACATGAACAACATATAGGATCATACTATGGACAACCAGAGGGGATTAAACGGGGAAGGGTGGGTGTTTTTTTTTTATTTTGTTGTTTTTATTAGTTTTGATTTTGGGTGTATATACACAGCTACCATCACTGAAGAAGTCTCCGGATGGATGAAACGCGTAGGTTTGGTGGCCTGGTAGTTGATTATGCTTTTACCAGTACACTTGGGGTTTTAAACTTAAATGTAAGTTAATGAATTCATCTTTGCACTTTACCTTGCATTTTAACTTTTTACTTTTAACATCCATGGTCCAATGCATTGAAGAGGAAACCTATCTGGATACACTGGAGGGATATCTTCGGCATTACTGAAGGCTTGAATTGGTCAATCAAATTGTAAGTGGCCAATTGAACCAATATATTTGAATTTCTTTATACACAGTTAAGCACTGTGCTTTTCCTAGCAGAATCCTTCCTATTTTATTCTATACAAGACAATTATACCAGAATAAAAAGAGACAACTAAAGCAGTTTCTAAGAAAGCCACTAGGGGGAAGAGAACAGACAGATGGCAATGAATTTGTCGGTACTCATGTACTGTTTTCCCTCATTTACTTTAATATGAATAAAATAACTCTCACTACTTTCTGTCAGAAAGGGGATTTGGGGATTTTACATTTCAGTGGTAGGAAAACAAACCCTATAAAGAGAGCAAAGAACCTTTAAGAAAATATAAAATGTAACGGACTAAGTGTGATAAGATGGCCAAGGAGGTTAGTCCTGGGAGAGCTCTCAGATGTGAATTCTGAGTAATAAGGAAACTAAATCCGACTAACAGCAGAATAGGGTCACCCAGAGTGTCGCGTGGCACGGACAGCAACAAACTTGGCTTAATTAGCTCAAAATACCTAAAGCCATTGCTATGTTACACATCGGCCTACATGTAGGTTTGGTTTGGTAGCTGCTCCTGCAGGGTCCTTCTGCAGGAATATTTAGACAAGTAATGCTCTGAACATACCAAGAAGAAGAACGTGTATGGTACAAAACAGCAAAATATGGATCTAACTCCTTCTCTAACGGGGATAAAGTTTATTTTCTAAAAACTGAGAGAAAAAAGCTGACCAGATCACCCCAACAGGTACTGTGGCCTTGAGAAGGGAATAGTTCAATTTCAATTAAATAATTTCATGACAGCAATCTATTTATCTGCAAGCTTGAATACCCTGAAATAAAATCTTTACGTGCCGGATACAATGCTGTTCTCTTGTTTGGGTACTTGTAACATGCATGTAATTATTGTTAATGAACCCCGGACACGACAAGCCTTACATCCACAGACAGAATGAGGACTGACTTATGAAGACATGGAGTTATTCACCTGAGATTTAGATATTCGAATTACAGAGGGGTACTTGGCACCGTTATTTGGTGTGACGGGCAGCTTCCTGCGACTGGCTGAGCGAGAGGAAGAGGAGTAGCTCTCGGCGGACTGACTCTTTGGAAGGCAGGCCTCTTTCCTGTGAGAGGACTCTGAGCGGCTGGACTGGGAAGCTATGGGGGTGGTGAGACGCAAAGGATTGCCTGGAAGCCTCGAGGTTGAGGAAAACGGGATGTGAGAAGCATCGAACTGTGAGAATATGCCATGATTGGGGAAACAAAACAATAACGTGCATGAATGCTAGCATCCGCAAGAAATTAGAGTAAATGCGGCCTGTAGACCAAGATTGCATGATTGCCAGTAAAGGAAAGGCGTTCGTTTACACATTAAGATATTTTAACGGTCTACTCAGTGCTAGAACAATTCGCTAAAGGAGAACGATCATATAAAAGCTACAGTTCACTATGAAGCAGCAGTGATCGCAACATTATATGCGGTGGACTTACCGTGGGACTAGAAACCAACTAACCAACTCCATGGGAAAGGTCACCTTAGTAAGAGATACCTACAATGTTCATACATTCACCAAGAATGAAATGGGATAAAACATGTCACCCTTCCCATGGAGACTGTAATTATCCTCCAATTAATTCCTACAGCTAGAGTTAGCCCATATGAACTGTATATATGTTACTGATTCAATGCATATCTATGACAAGATGCTGATTGGCCAGGGCTGTTTGGCTCTGCACCCACCACACCCCCTTGGCTGGGATCATCAGAATTGACTATTTCAGCCAATCCAATGCTTTCCTATGGGAAAGCATTGGTTTGGCTGAGATCATACATTCTGATGATGTCAGCAAAGAAGGCTAACTGGTGCAGAGCCAGTTCCGGCAGACCTGCACAGCACTGAAATAAAGGTGAGTAAACTACTTATTTAACCCCTTAAGGACACATGACATGTGTGACATGTCATGATTCCCTTTTATTCCAGAAGTTTGGTCCTTAAGGGGTTAAGGGGGCAAGCGGGACTGGGTACCTAAATATTGTTTTTAACAATAATGGTTTAGGAATAGACATTTGTATTCCTGCCCCTATAGTGTTCCTTTAAGTCTATATGTTTTTAATACACAAAGATGTTTTTAAAGCTTGGCATTTATTTTATTAAAATTTAAACCTTTGACGCTACTGTGGTTGTGGACTACATCTCCCCTGATGCTTTGCCAGCTTTGAGGCTCTAAGAACATTATCGAAAATGTATTGCCCTGTTTTGACTATAAAAAAAGTAAATTGCATAGCCTATACTAGGGCCCTCGGCACTCCAGATGTTGTAGACCAGGTCTCCCAAAAATCGCTTACAGCTATAATACTGGCAGAGCATCAGAGGGATGCACTCCTCAACATTTGGAGTGCCAGGCATCCTTGATAAGAGACTGGGTCCTAAATAGGGATCAACCCATTATCAGTCTGGCCAATATTATAGGCCGATATTCTGTATTTTCGGCAATATCGGTATCAGCCAATTAAGATACCGATAATGCAGATCAGGGCCGCCATCAGGGTCCGGGGGGGCCCCAGCACACTCTTACTTACCTTCCCAGCAGCTCCCCTGTCTAACACTCGCGAGTCCCGTGGCAGTCAGAGCGTTGCCACGGGTTACCAAAGCAACAGGCCGAGAGAGTTAGGGGAGCTGCTGGAAAGGTAAGTAAGAGTGTGCTGGGCCCCCCCAGGGAAGTCCATATCCCCCCCTCCCTGGCCAGGGAAGAAGCAGGGAGGGGGGACTTAAATAAAAATTAAAAAAATAAATATTTAAAAAAATAAACCACCAGATACAAGTATGTTATCTGAAATGTGACAATTTTGGAAGTTAACTTACCATGTCACAGAATCCATAACTGAAAACAAGAAACTGTAAACCCTGCAATTTCTTGTCTGGTTGTGTAAAAAAGAAACTGGTTAATATAATTCTGGAATCTCATCTTACCGGAGTAAGTGCGCCTTCAGCTTGCGCTTCCATCGGACTAGTTGGTGTGGCAGCAAGCAGCTGGCCAGCAGCTCCCGACATCAGATCCAATTTATCAGTATAGGGGCCCGAAGAAATTATCATATCAAGTCCAACTGCAGGGTCAGGTTTGCCTTGGATATTATTGTCTCTCCACAAGCCTTTGTTTGGTTGACCTTCTTGAGGAGAATCATCCAGCACTTGAAGGACCTCTGGCTCTTCGTCTGATGGACTTCCTGTCAACTTTTGACCTCTACTACCATTTGTCCCAAAATCTTTCAAGTCGCGCTCCTTGTCCACAATAACCCACTCTTTGGAATCAATGTCCTGCCGGCAGGAGCTCAGATTTACAGCTACAAAACCATTGCTAACACCTTCAAGGTGCTCTGGGGAGCTGGCTGAACCAGGCTTGGAACCTGCAGGGATATATTCTTCATCATAATGCCACACATGGTCAGCAGAACCTGCAGTGGGAGCAGCAATTACTTTACGAGGTTGAGGTGGTGAAGATCCATCAGGGACCGGTGTTTGCTTCAGATGTGCATCTTTCTGAATTCTCTCAACACTGTGCAAGAAAGAAAAATGCAAACCACTTTGGCAAACCACAATAAGGCATATTGAGGGCATATGTATGTTATGTGAAAACTGTCCAATGTAACCCTGTGAAAAAACAAACGTGTAACTAAATAGAGACATTTTTAAAGAAAAATATGTTTATTATAGAACCCAGATTGCCTGCAAGAAACAGAGGTGGCTTTCTGTGGTCTGGCATGAGTAAGTTGGGGAAATAGTATCTCTCTGAAAAATTTACCACATCTTTTGTTTATGTGTCACAAGTGTGGTGGGTCAACCATCACCTAGACACAGGATCTTCCCTATAGAGTAAATGGGCCAGTTTATATTTTTGTATTCCCTTTTTGAGGTGTAATTTGAACAATAAACAAACAATCATGGGACAGTTCACAATGTCCTCTACTGGATAACTCAATACAGGGTATACCTACCTACTGAGATAAATGTTTAGTTTGTTTTATTAGCTGCTAAATTGTAAGCTTTATTGAGTAGGGGTCTCGTTAACCCAAATTTCCTGCATGATAATCATATAGGTCAGCTTTTTTTCCCTGTAACACGCAAGCTTACATCACTCCTTACTAATTTTTACTTGGAGATTCTTAAAACCTTCAAACAAACTACTTTGCTCCATCACAACCTACTCAAAAATGTATTGTCATTTTATTTTAATATTTTAATGGAAAAGAATACTAATGCTATACTCTAAAAATGAGTACTTGAAAGGAAATTTTACAGGTTTGGTTAACGGCAAATAAAGGCATTTTCATACCAATTTTCCAAAAATTTGTCTGCATCAGGCTTTGATTCTAGAGTCATACGCTTCTCTAGCTCAAAGCTATGAATGGTGCGTAACTTGCGCAGAAGGGGAACATCTCGATCCAACAGCGTCGTCTCTGAACGAACTCGGATGGGAGAACCTAGGCTTGGTGCATTTAGTACACCATTTACATGGCCATTACTATGTTCATCCTCTGTAGCAGCCTAAAACCAACAAAAAAGGTTAAAAAAAAAAAACAGTCAAATAGAATACATTCACTAAAAACAAAACAAAACAAAAAAAATCAAAGCATCATAAATAGTTTACAAGTCTCTTGGATGCAATAACACATTTATACATAAATGCAAAGCATATAGTTTATGAGTTAAATGACCTCGTTTAGTCTGTTCCAATGCATGAGAAAGGTAATATTTAATAAAGTGAATCCGTTTCCTAAAGGTTTTTCTCAACAAAAGTAATAACATTTACAATTAGATGCTTTGATTCCTTAACATTTGGATCTCTGCTAGTGTGGGGAAACCTACATGTATATACTCCACTCAAAGCAGATTGTGTGCCAGACAAGTTCAGCTTAGAACAAAGAGGGTCAAACAGTCTGTCTTATTGTGTCATTCCCACCAGGATCATTTTTCTTAAATCTCTCTGCACAAAATGTACAATTTAGCCTATAATAAGCTTCACCAGTAAAGTAGGGCTGATATCACTCTTAAACAAGGTTCTCCACGGCGCGAAGGACATTTCTCACAATATCTAACCATAGAGATATACAGTATCTCACAATAGTGAGTACACCCCTCACATTTTTGTAAATATTTTACAATATCTTTTCATGTGACAACAATGAAATAATAACACTCTTCTACAATGTAAAGTAGTAAGTGTACAGCCTGTATAACAGTGTCCCCTCAAAATAACTCAATATTTTGTGTGGCCACCATTATTTTCCAGCACTGCCTTAACCCTCGTAGGCATGCTAAACACCAAAGGGTTACAAATATGAAGGGTACAGTCTACCATCAACAAACCACCATTTTCTATCAAATGTTATCCAATCATGTAGTAAACTGAAGCACTCTCGGCACTTTGATGATCCAAATGTTTAATTTTCAAACTCTCAAACATATACATCTGTCACCTAGAGTTTTGTTACCTTGCATATACCCATTCTGAATTTATTTCTATTGGCATCCATCTCCTCCCAGACATCCTTCTCCTGAGTGCGCTGGTGACTGGGAGACCCTGGGATTTTCTCTGGGGAAACAATAATTGGGAGTCCATTCTCCCCGTCACTAAGTTGTTCATCTGGAAACACTTCATCTGTGTTTTCACGTAACAGATCGCCGGGGATTGGTGTGGCATTCGCAATTCTGAATGTAAAGGAGATAATATATTAAGCCATTTCAGAGAGTATGAAATATTTAGAGGCGATAGTGTTTAACATTACAAACAAACGTTCATGGTTTGAAAAATTGTTTGTTGGTAGAAGTCAATGCATCACAACCAACCTGGATTCATGAGATTCTAGCAGGTCCTATGCTTTCAATCACTAGCATTTGGCAAAGAGAGCGTGTATGGGAATATTACCAAACCCCTTCGCCTAACTTTAGAGTCCATGCTTCTCTAACTGCTCTTAATCTACTCAAATTACTTTCAAAATCCCATCCTAGAGTCTCACTCTTTAATTGCTCACAATTCAGTATAAAAGCATTTCTACTATTAGACCTGAATTAACAAAAATCAACATCAAATTCTCCCACGCTACTGTTTGGCTTCCATTATCTCTGCAGACTAAGTTCCTAGGCCACTTTGCTAGGCATTTTATAGGAAAGTGTTTCAAACACTAATGAACAGGAACCTCAAATTTCATTTAGAACTGCTTATATAAAATAATGTGAGTAACTTCTTATATGTGCTTATAAACCCTCTCTGCTGAATCTGGTTCCTTATAAATAATTAAGAAAGCTCACTTGAACCATCTGTTTTAGAGGATTGTGTGAAAGCAAAAAAAGTAATGGGCAAAAACACTTACACTAGGGCTACATGTCACGGTCACCTCAGTATGTACTAAATGCTGAGCATTCACTTATCCAAGATGAAGGGTGACATTGGCCATGAAACCACAATCCAATTGAAATCAGTTGGTCCAGCACTCCTCCACATATAGCAATTCCTTAATTAGGAAGAAGCACGAAGATATTAAGGAGGCACTGTCCCTTCCGAGCTTTTCATAAAGATGGAATCTTCATTAAAAAAAACTCATAGACTGCATTGGAAGGTATCGTAAGACTATTTGCAGATTACTTTATCTTATGTACAAGCATGGGATGAGGAAGCTTCAATTTCTGCCGAGAGCATTTGTCCTTTTCCCATCAATTGGTACTTGCAATGGCTGACAAGAACAGGTGAGAAGCTCTGTGAAGGAGTTGCATTCCCTCAGTTTCGTAGTTTTAAGCTTGTGTGAGAGTACACCGAGACACGGATCCGGCAAACGAAACACATGGGATGCTGGGATTGAGTAAGGAGATCTTTAGGCACATTTGTCTCTTCTATCGTCCCACTAAGTGTCAACACGTAAGTCACAAACGCACTAACAGTTTACATTAAAGATAACAGTATGAATTTTGGCAAAGTGCACAGCTATATATAATTTACCCAATAGCAGCATGTGTCAGGCGAGTATGAAGTTGAGGCGTAGTGGATGTGGTTGTGGTTGTTAAAGAGCCATCCATTCCACTCTTCTCCCAGTCGAAGGGGTCACTTTCGACAATACCATAGGTTTTCATGCTGTTATCAAAGACTGACACGAGGAGCTGCACGTGGGAAGAAATAAAGGCTTTAAAACAAGGATTCTATATGTAACATCTGGAGCCAAAGTTTAGCATTGCGGTAACACTACAGTATTCCTCAAATGATCCCACCTAACTATTTAGCTTCTTCCATATAATGGCTACGCTCTGTTTTATCATCCTATGCCAAACGGACAGCAAAAGAAACAAAAAACTTGTTTATGTTCATGGAAATATCTATATTTAAAAAAAAATAAAAAATACATTAATCTTACTCTACTTCATTTCAAAGATGAGATGTAAAACTATTACTGCAGTATTTTGTTAGAACACTGTGAGAAAATGAAACCATATTATAAACATTGTAGGTAAATTGTTTGAGACTCAAGGAGTGTCTCTTTTTTGGAGTTCACATTCACTGTTAGGCAACTGAAAGGTGACAATTAATGCTGCGCATCTGCATGACACATCACTTCATGGCCCAGTGCAACGTCTGTCCCACCACTGCAGCATTAGTATGGAAATCTTAACATTTACAAAGCAAGTAATGTATCAACCTGTGGCGCCTGTGAAAAAACACAACCGTTGATAAATCTAAACTACGGTTTCACTAAAACAAAAATGTTTTACAATCCTTTAGTTTTCAGTAAATGCTACAGTAAAAGTTTTATAACACTACTTGGGAAAGTAGAAGAGTTTCCAGAGTCTAAATCAACTACCTTTTTTATAAAAGCATTTAAAGAATTATTATTAAATAAAATGAAAAATAAAAATACTATTCTACAGCTAAAAAAAAAACAACAAAAAAATGAATGGGTTTTCATTAACATTGTGTGTTTGTGAAGGATTAACATGGTACAGTTAGTACAGTGGGGTATTGTTTTGGCCAGGATGCGCAGACCTCAATAAACGCTGAATGGAAGGTACAGAAGGACATTTTCACAGTCTATTTTGTGCCTGCTAATGCTTTGGCTCACTATCAGTGTCAGGGTTTGACCACTGATCAATAAAATATTCAGAGTACAATATAAATATTAAGTTTTTTGTATAAACCGTGCCACATGAATGTCAACAACAATGTTAATATCACATACCTGGTAATCTGGTTTGGTGAAATAGTCTAAGCCAATGATATGTTCGAGAAACACAGAGAATTCTGGGGGAAGATGTTTTAACATAAGGCGATGCTCATAGCGTTCTTTTATGGACCCTACTTGTTCCTGTAAAGACAAAGAAGAAGGTATATTTCTTAATGTGACTATTATTGGTATTTTACTTTTGGGTGACAAATATCCACATGATATTCTGAATACAAGATTTGATTTGTTCTAAATGCTTAACTCCTACCACTACAATGTGATTACTGCCGGTTCCTTAACTAACAGAAGGTCAATAAAATGGATGTCATAGGGGCAGGTGTGATTGTAATGGTGACTGGACGTGTTTTCACGGAGCTCCTTGTGAGTCTTACAGTTTGCTCCAGTTATCTACTCTGCATCGAACGATCAGCTTGGGGGTACTTCCAGCGGTCATTTGCAGCCGTTCAGAGTTCTCTGCTGATAAGAGGGAGGCCTGTTAGGCGCTATGGAAGGGAGAGGCAGCCGATCTCCTGGCCCAGCACAGCCTGATCTTCTGCAACTCCAAGCTGGTGCCCCGATACTCCCCATTAAGGTGGATAACATGGTCTATCTCAGGACATTCGTAAAAAAATTGAGACACCGGAGTATATTCTTCCAGGTAGGATACTTTGATACAATCCGATTGCCATTATGGAGTCAAAAAGGATTTCCCCCCATTTTTGTGCCATAATTGGAAATGGCTACAACTGGGTGTTTTGCCTTCTTCTGGATAAATGGCATTAAAGATTGGGCTTCAGGGTTGAATTTGATGGACTTTAGTCTTTTTTTACAATTTAAATATATATATTAAGGCTGTGGCCTGGAATTGTGGGAGGGGTTACCTGGGCTGTTGTAGTTATATCTCAGACAGCAGTAGGCCTGTCTACCTATTTGGAACACAAGCCATCTCGGAGACCAAGAAGAGATCCTGCCCAGAGTCAGGATACTAACACATTGCTTTACCATCTCTTTAACAAGACCAATGTAATGTATATTAAATGTTAAACTAAAATACACATACCTTGTCCTTTATCTTTCTCCATGGGAGCTGACCAACTACAAACTCCACCAGCATGTAAAATAGAGACCACAGGTCATCATGTCTACCCATTTCCTGTGAAAAGAAAACAATTAGGGTTAGGTAGAACTGGACCATTAGGACATTGGACATTTTCTACTCTACAACCAGGTGGTGGGACCACCTCCAACACACTGAAAGCATACACTCTGTTTAAAGACACATGAAACCTTATAACTTAATTCCTTATGCCCAATGACATTCTGAAATGAAAATATTCAAAAAACTTTATTTGAAAGGGGCACTCCTTGCACCATAACCACCACAGTGCACTGTAGTGATTAAGGTGACCAGTATTTCCTTGCACCGGAATTCTTACCTGGGGTACGCCTCCACTACGTCAGATAGAGAACTTCTTGCTCTGTCTGAGCTAAGCCCAGTTGTGCAGGGCTTAACTAATTGGCTGAGAGAAATCAGCGGACACTCCCACAGCCAATAAGCTAAGATTAATTATTTGGGCCAGCTCAAGATTTAGTGAATAAGACAAAAGGCTACCAAAAAAAGGCCAAAGCCCAATATCAACGTTGATTGTGTGCTATTCCTTTGTAGCACTGTAAGACAATTGCCACGCACTGAATCTCACTCACCCGGTTTCTGTGAGCGTTCACAGAGGCATAACGTACTGTCCCCCGAAATCCAGCAACAGCTCGTGGCTAGAAGACAAAAAAATTATCCAGGTCAGTTAATCTAAGTTTCAACGTTTTGGGCTCTGTGTTTATAGGAAAATATGCAACTTATAATTAGAGGATAATTAAAAGACACCAACAGTAATAAACAGCAAAAAACAAACAAAAATAAATTAAAAACTCAAATTGTTTTATTCAGTATTTCTCATCTATTCGCAATGTTGTGCTTTTTATTGACTTTTAAATGCTTATTGTATAAAATTTTAGCTGTGAAAAAGGAGCATGTTGTCTCTGCACACAGATTTAAGATATTTGGATTAATGGAATTTATTTAACAAAAATGTAAATATTGCATGAATATACAATACTGTGCTACATAACTACCGATAATACCTATTTCAATGTGGAATAATCGTTGGATTAGAAGGCAACTTAAATAGAAAACTCTCTTTAATTAGATTTTTCCTCCAAAAGCATTTTATTGAAAGAAATCTGCTTTAAATGGAAAAAAAAAAAAAACCAATGAAACAAATAAAAAGAAAAAGAATTGCTCTTCGTTCACTCTGATGAGGACTGAATCATTCAAAAAGAATATTACCCTTGACAAGTTGGCCAAACAGATATGGCTAAAAAGCACACTTTAGACCTGAAGAGAGAGACCTTAGGGAACTCACCCAGTTTCCTGTCTATGGGGTCTTCGAACGATACACTGTCCTCCAAAGGAATAGAAATCTGCTTGGTCAAGTTAGCTAGCTTAGTGACAGTGTCACAAACAATCAGGGTTTCATCCAGGAGAGCAAGTTTTGGTTAAAGAATCAGGGCAATCCCTGGTTCATCACAATCCTTTTGTACCAAAGCCATGAGAACTGGTGGGTAAAGAAAATGGTGGGGTGCCAGTTGGTGGTTTTAAAAACTGATCCAGGTTCCTATCTCACTCCTTCATACCCTAAGCGTTGACCAAGTGTACATAGTGAACACAGAACTTGGCACTTGCCTGAAGTGCCACTGGGCACCTTCAACAGAGAGTATATACCCTATCAAGGACTCCGCTTAGCCATGCGCAATGAGCATCAATCTAAGGGAACTTCATTAGGAGGATTCATTGGACAACCTGGAAAAGTAGTGGACTAAGCATGCTGCCTGGCAGGAGAACATTGCCAACACTATGCATTCGGTAGTCAACCTCTGAGCCATATAAGATTTATCAGAGGGACCAGGTGTCCCTCCATTGAATGCACATCCTCAACTTACACTTATATTCGAACTTCTGTATAAGCTAAACAAGCCCACGATTTAGGCAGATACACAACAGAGGATTCTACAAGCGGGACTAGAGCACGGGCAGCATACTCAAGCAATGCATTATGGGTGTTTCTACCTATTCCAGTGGTACGGGTGTTATCCCATATGTTACAACTCGCGGGCTCTCACTACCCAAGGAACCGAGAGGTTGCAGGTGCTTTGTACATTATTTGATAAAATTAATTAAAAGAATATCAAAATGAAGAGCAGAACACAGAGTATTTTATGTGCCAACCTAAATTTAGATACATCTTACAACACAATTGTTTTTGTGAAAATCTAAATAGAAAAGTGAAGCAGAGATAAGATAATTTGTTATGTTTGGACTTTATTTTTTTGGTGATCTTTTTGCACTGCTTAATCGAATAAATGTTTTTAGTCGTGTTAGGGAATGAAGAATTGTCCTTTTAACAGACGTGACAATTTCGCTTTAAGGAGACAAAGCACTGTGTATGTTTAAATTACACACAGGGAGAAACAAAGTTTGTATTTATTTCTGATTATTTACATTTATGGCTCTGCCCTTAACAAAATAGATAGCTAGGGACCAATTCCACACTGCAACACAAATATATGTGTTTATACTATAGAAACCAAACTGACGGGAGATGAATTAACACACACCAAATGGCATTGCATTTATTGATTACATCAGCAAGAGAGAGAGAGTGGAATAAAGAGCTGAAACGTGCAGATCAGATGAAGACATCTGCAGTCGTTTAGTGATAGCTGCAATTGCAGATCACAAATACTGAAATTCTAAACACACAGCCACCCATCCAGATGATGTCCAGATAGTCTATGTTAGCTGCTGTCAAAAGAGATTAATTCTACTGTTAGAGCAAGTAAACACTTTATTGAATCAAGAGAACACAATGACATTTGGTGCAAAGAAATCAAACAATTTTGTGAGTCTTCATCCAGGGGAAAGCACAAAATAGCCTTACTGGTTAAACGACTGCCCTCTAAACTAATAAAACAAATATCAATATTTGTACACAGACATCGTTATTGTCCCTAATACATGTTTTACCACTATGTATCTTTAATACGAGTTGTAGTGGGTATGGTGCTTGGAGTGTTCCTTAAAATTTGGTTAGTTTTAAACGGACCCTCCATTGCCCAAATGCACACACACAAAAAAAAAAAATCACTGTTCAATATATATCTAAATGAAAACATTTCTTTATGCATTTTTTCATTAGGTGTTTATATCAAACATTTTGCAAAACCTGCAGTTTTCTTGTCTGCTGCCTTGCAAACCCTCCCCTTCAAACCTCGCCCAGACTTCCTGTGGCTGTCCAATCACAGACTTCCAATGCAGGTCAAGAAGTCTTTGCAAAGCAGATGCTCTGGGCAATTGCTGCCTCTTGAGTTCATCTCCACTGAGCCAAACTAACTAGGGAATAACAGGATCAGTTGTTTCATTGACAGCAAAGGGGACTTAACAAGGTTAATTTATTTTTATTGTAATCTGTACCTTTTGTAATATAGCAGAAAAAAAAAAGAAAATTAAGAGAAAAAAAAGAGTACACACTCTACACAGCAAGCTGGAATGCTCTATGGGTTTGGAGTGTCCCTTTAAATGAGCACTAGGAATAAAAATCTAGTGTCTTCTGTTCCTTGGTGCTGGCTTGTTCTTCTCCTCCCGAGATGTCACGGCGATAGGAGAACCTAATGCCCAAGTGCGGTGAGCACATCGCAAGCATTAGGCCTTCCCCAAAGGAAAGCAATAAAACTTTCTTATGGGGACATTCAAGATGCTGGGCGTCTTCATGCAAAACGTGAGGACACCCAGCATTGTTACACTGAATCAATGTGAATCGATGTAACGCCTCTAGTGGCTACCTAGCACCAGGAGAGGCTGTCTTAACATTGCAGGTTAAAGGGGACACAGGCACTAAAGCCAGACCATTTCAATGAGATGAAGTGGTCTGGGTGCCTATAGTGGTCCTTTAAACGTTGATGTACTGTAGGGGGCTAACAGTTAAAGGAGCACTATAGGGTCAGGAACACAAACATGTATTCCTGACCCTATAGGGTTAAAACCACCATCTAGTCACCCTGTCCCCCTCAAGCCTCCCTAAATATAGTAAAATCTTACTTGTATTCGAGTCTGCAGCTGCTTACTTTGTCACTCTTTAGTTTGACCTGCCCACTGCCTGCTGACAGAAGTGGTAGCCTGATCTTATCACAATGCTTCCCCACTGAGACTGACAAAGAGGCAGATCAGGGGCAGAGCCAGCACAATTCAAACACAGCCATGGCCAATCAGCATCTCCTCATAGAGATGAATTGAATCAATGAATCTCTATGAGGAAAGTTCAGTGTCTGCATGCAGAGGGAGGAGATACTGAATGTTTGGATGCATTTTAGGCAGCCATGGCCCAGGAAGGATCTCTAACAGCTATCTGAGGAGTGGCCAGTGAAGTTATCACTAGGTTGTAATGTAAACACTGCATTTTCTCTGAAAAGACAGTGTTTACAGCAAAAAACCTGAGGGTAATGATTCTACTCACCAGAACAAATTCAATAAGCTGTAGTTGTGCTGGTAACAATAGTGTCCCTTTAATGTCGGGGTACTGTAGAGGGTTAATGTATAGTGTTCGTGAAAAGTATATGTGTATGTGTAGTGATAATGTAGAGTTAATATATGTAGGGGTTAATGTGTATTGTAGTGTCTTAAGGTAGCTTAGGTTTTAGGATGAATTAACTGTATGGGCAACAGTGGGACACATGTCCCATTGCTGCCTGAGATTTGTGGAAGTTACAGTACTGGATGGCAGATTGTGTAGCTGCCGTAGTTAAAATGGAAACAGGTACAATTCAGGTGTGTAACAAAAACACTGCACCCAACATGAGAGCATCTTGACTTCCAACTAACTACAAATTAAACTAAAAACCTAGATTCATTTGCCAAGTTCACATTTTCTCAGTTTAATTAGTGACGGAGCTTTGCATGCCCATATTGTTCCCAAAACATTGCCTCAATTTGATTTGAAGGTCATTAACCAGCCAGCAGCTTGCAGCCAGGTGCATGAATGCAAATCCAGTTACATTTATAACAGCATCTGATGCAAATCTGTTCTGCAACAAATCAAATCATTCTCTCTTCAAATAAGATTAACATGGTTAGAATAAGGCCAGTGCCGTCTACACGGCAACAAGATTCAAAAAGGAAAACATTTCACAGAGATACAAACACAGCCATCATATTCTGCTATCTCTGTGCAGCTGTCATTTTAACAGAAATATTTCAAAGACCAATTCATCTCAATGAAGTGGTCGGGGTGCAGTGCTCAAGTAGTTTTAGTCCTGCAATGTAAGATATAGCAATGTTTTCACTGCAGGGCTAGAAACACCACTAGTTGCTGTTTTTCTGGCAACCACTAGAGGGTGCTTCCACTGCAATAACGGAGTCAGATAGTTCTTCAATCAATGCTTCTCATAGAGAGAATATGATTGGAGGAGTGTGGCTTTCTGCCCAGGCACGCACTTCTCGCCCACAAATTAGATTCAACAAGAAGACATCAGCATGCTTTCTGACAAAAAGGAGGCTTGTTTATCTAAATATGTTTTTCCTTTCCTGTCCTCCACGTATTAGTTATGATTTCTTTATAAAACGTACTTTAACCAACGGGTAATCATTTGCCTTCAATGCAACTAAGCATTAGCCCCGTGGTCAGATAATTTTCTCTGGAGGATTGAGTGGCTGCATAGATTGCTTGAAATTTGGGACAGATCAGATACTTCTAAGCAACAACCATGGTCACTACAAAACATTCATTTATTAAATTAATTCAACACAAGCAGGGGTATTAACTGGATGGAGAACTGTCAGGAATTCAATGTCAATATTACATGTAAAAAAGCAAAATTATCTATACTGACCGTTGGCCTTAAATGTGAAATTCACAACAATTCTCACTTTAATATATAGCCCTGATAAGGTGTTTTGTATCACAATTGCTCTGCTACAATCCCTTAACTTTACCTTGACATTAGGAGTTAGACGTAAGCTAACATTCTGTTAGCAGTAGACACACAGAATCACACAATATCAAGCGCTCACACACACACACACAGAATCATACAATATCAGGCACACACACACACACACACACACAGAATCATACAATATCAAGCGCGCACACACACAGAATCATACAATATCAGGCACACACACACACTCACACACAGAATCATACAATATCAGGCACACACACACACTCACACACAGAATCATACAATATCAGGCACACACACACACACACACAGAATCATACAATATCAGGCACACACACACACACACACAGAATCACGACATCACACACAAAATCATACAATATCATCACACACACACAGAATCATACAATATCAGGCACACACAGAATCATACAATATCAGGCACACACACAGAATCATACAATATCAGGCACACACACAGAATCATACAATATCAGGCACACACACAGAATCATACAATATTAGGCACACACACAGAATCATACAATATCAGGCACACACACACACACACACACAAAATCATACAATATCAAGCGCACACACAAAATCATACATTATCAATCGCACACACAAAATCATACAATATCAAGCGCACACACACAAAATCATACAATAACAAGCACACACACAAAATCATACAATATCAAGCGCACACACAAAATCATACAATATCAAGCGCACACACAAAATCATACATTATCAATCGCACACACAAAATCATACAATATCAAGCGCACACACACACAAAATCATACAATAACAAGCACACACACAAAATCATACAATATCAAGCACTCACACACACAATAAGAAAATGACTCCCACACAGACATGTATACACAGCTAGCCGGTCACTCACTTATACATACAGACATAAAACAACAAATGTGTGTCTGCTGATCTATGTATCTGTGTTCTATTATCCTCCCTCTCCTCCCCTTATGACAGCCTGGGTTAATAACAGAATTGTGTGCTTACATCGGTCTGCAATTGGAACGCGTAGTTGACATGCAGGTAGTCCTGTGCAACAGAATCTTTCTTGTGTTTCTTCATACTTCTTTTAAAGTGCTTTTTCTAAAAATCACACTTGTTAAGCCTCTACAGAAAAAAATACTTTAAATATCTGCACCTACCATTTAACAAACATGACAGTATGTTAAGCAGCTGGAGATTAATATTCGTATCTAAAGGGTCAGTCTAAGCTGCAAAATTACTTCAGCTTCCTGAAGAGATAATGGTGCAATGACCCTGTCCCTGCAGCGTTGTGTTTGAAATAGGTCTAGTTTTTGAGAAACCTGTGTACATATTTTTTCTACCTGTAGCTCCACCCTCCCAGGCTGTCAATCAGGCATCTGGAATTCTATCTTTTGGGCTGCCTGTATTAGTGCTTTTCTTTAGGATTCATTTTGGAGATAAAGCGTTAGGTGCAAACTTGAGGAAATAAAAAAACCAAAATAATAAATTTTTTAAAATGCACAAACACACAAAAAACATTGTTACTCAAGGCAAGGGATAGGCAACTTTTGACACTCCAGATGTTATGGACTACATCTCACCTGATTTGTTATGACGGTAAGAGCATTATGGGAGATGTAGTCCACAACATCTGGAGTTTGCCTATCCTAGGTCTGAGTTGTCTGGCAGAGCTACTGCATTAGCACTGGTTGACTTTTCTGATGGTTTGCGGTCTTACTCTGCAGGATACCAAGGCTACCACGGAGCGAATTTATATTCTTTAGTAATTATTACAGCTTGAATTTGAAATCATTCGGCTGCCTTTATGTGGTCCTTGTAAATCGGCCCACTTTTTCTCTCCCATCAGACATTCAGTTTGCCTGCCCAATTAAAACTCCAATCAAGGGAAGGACCACCAAACAACACAGGGTAAGAACTCAAATCATTATGTATCCCAGCATTTCTTTGTGTTCTCATCTTGTTGGGAGGCTACACAAGTGAATTAACTCTTGTGTAGCGGGGCCACACCATACGTGAATTTGTACAATCAGTAACAGGCATGGCTAGCCAAAGGATAGTCATCACAGCTGGTTTAGGGCAATTGCTATAAAAGATGGGAAGGGCTGTTCCATGAGTTACAGTCCAATAGGTTTTCCATTTTATGGTCTAACGGTATGGTCATTTTTGTCCTTCTGGGTTTTCCCTTACATATGCCCTTTGTATTTTAGCTATTATACACCCCTCTTTGCCACATGCTTTGATTTATAGTCATTAGGTTTTCTTTATTGAGATCTCAATATCAGGGCAACCTCAAATTTGAATCATCCCATTTACGATGCTCCTCTATGAGTGTGTGACTTCACACAGAGATCAGAACACATCACCAATAATTTTTTCTGAAGATGGAGCCAAACCGCACAAGAGGACAACCAGGACAGTATAAGTAAATAAGTCAATTAATTACTTTTGAGTGATGGACTGTGGGTAAAAAAAGCTTTGCGATGGAAACTGAACCTTATTTTTGCTCTACACTTTTTCCATTTTTCTTTTAATTAATAAATAATAATTGAAAGTAAATCGATACAACAGTGACGGTGCTACTGTAATGTTAAAATTCCATTAACTTACCGGTCGTACGTCTCCACATGAGTTTGTAAACTGACGCGCCAGCCCAAAATCCAGCATAAAGCACTTCCGGCAGGTGCTTGGGAAACGTCCCATAGCAAAGTTGGACTGGAAGAGGGGGGGAAAAAATTGAGATTTTAATTTGAAAACTTTTGAATGGTTACCAGAAAAATCATAGACAGAAAAAAAAGAAAAAAAGAAAGAAAGTAGAAGAAATAAAGAAAAGAAAAAAAAGGGAAATATAAAACCTCACTAAGGAGTTAAAAGTTACACATTTTGACATGTGATGCTTTTTAGAGTACATTACTGTACATTTAAATGGTACCAAATAGCACTCTAACACAAGATGTCTCGCAGCAGTAATAATACCGGTCATACGTAAATACATAGATAAAAAGCTTACAATGGAAAACATCATCACGTTTGCAAATAAAAGAATCGCTGTTCCATAAATGTCCCCTTTTTACTCACCGGTTTAATATCTCGGTGTAGAAATCCCACTGAATGAATGCTCTCAATCGACTCCAGGATTTGTCGGCCAAGCCTCAGCATGGTGCTGATTGAGAAAGTACCTCGTGATTGGCTGCGGCGCAGATCTGCCAAATTGCGTCCCTAACAAAACAAAAACAGCATTTGTTTTGCCATCATGATTATAGAGTCATACTGGTTATAATCTTGCCTTAAATTACTACAGCACTTAACATTTATCGCATACGTTTAAGATTCCTATGCCCAAAATGGCTGTATATTTAGAATTTCTGTTGAAAAAAATGCTTATAACTTTTCATATCTCTCGATATATACAGTGACCTCCTATAATATTGGCACTCTTGGTGAATATGAGCAAAGAAGGATGTCTTTATTGTTTAACCTTTTGATCTTCAAAAAATACACAAAAAAAGTCGGCTCTCATGGAAATCAAAAAATTGCCCCTAGACTAAGATTGTTTGAGCAGGGTCATCACCTATTGTTCCTGTAACATTTTGTAATTATCTCATTTATTGTTAAATTTCCCCCTTTTGTAATATTGTAAAGTGCTGCGGAAAAAGTTATCGCTATATAAGTGGGGGGAAAAATAATTGCAAATACAACAAAGGTTTATAAAAAAATAAACAAAAACTTTGTGAAATATGTGTGGCCTATATAGAGTGGGTCAAAACTCAGAGTAGGATTTTACAGGTAAATAATAGTAATTCAGTGTTTATGCTGCAGGTACATATTTTAACTGAGTCTTAGGAGATTCATCATTGGTAATTTCACGAAGGAACAACATCTGGTTTTTTGTTAGTTTTTTTAAAGTCTCGGAGTGTTTTTTTAAAGTCTTGGAGTGTTATTCCTATTCATATAGAGTAATATGATGACATTTTCGATGAAATGTCTTGTTTTTCCCACAATGAAAGTGTCCATTGCCTGGCACTGTCTACGATGCTGGGTTATTCTTGTGAGACCAACTTTCTAAAATTCCTAGCCACTTCTAGAATCAATATGTGCAGACTTAGAAATGTTACCAATAAGGAAGTATTTCTTCACGAGTGTACATGCCTTTTAGTCAAAGGGAAGCTAGCTTTGGGCAACCTCACCGTTGTAATTTTATTTGATACAATGCAGTCTAGGTGAAGGTCGGACGGAAGTCACCTTGCGTTTTACAATGTCGCAAATGAAAAGACCTTGAAAACACAATATTTCCTTCATTTTGATAACACTAACCTGTAGCTGCATAACAACATAGTTAAACCGGTCATTCCTCCCACATCCTATAAATCGGCAAACATGGTCTTTTCCTAAAAGAAAAATGAAAACAAGGTATGAAAAAAAAACAAAGATTTGGCCTGTGTTCATATCTTGACTTTACTCCCCGATTTTTATCTGACTGTGTGGAGATCAGATGTTCAGACTCTATTTTGAACAAGTTCACAACTTAGAACAGATAAGGTGTTAAATGATCACAATTTTCCAAGCAGCTTTGCCCAACAGTTGAATAAAGAAATAACTTTTAATTTAATGATGCAGAACACTCTGAACCCATTACATTTTGAAAGGAGATATTTATAGACACTTAAAATTCATAGCTCACCAATAAAGTTATACTTTCCAACATTGGGAGGGATGAAACTGGTATGAGATGAACGAAATTGGCAAAGGAAGGTGTCAGTGCGAATGTTAATACTGGGGATGTGATTTTTTATTCTCCTATAAAAGAGGGAGGGGGATGCGGTCTGGGAGGGCCATGCGGCCTAGAAGGTGGGATGGAGAGGGGTGCAGGTGGATAGGAATGGAATACATATGCAAAGTGTTAAATAAAAATGGCCTATGCTACTGTTATTGTACATCCATGCATTTAACTTGGTTCCGTTATACCACCTTTGTGCTTTAAACTAATTGGCAAATTTCCCATAGAAAATAGATTTCTATTGTGTACACTGAACTATCAAAACTGGCATAGGAGGACAGTGCTGTCAGAAATGATGTGTGCAGTGATTAAATGCCAAAATAAATAAATAAATAAAAACGGCGAGTACAGCCAGCAAAGCATGGGCAGAAATGCAATGCCCTAGGCATGCACTGTGTGTGGTCTGAGAAGAACCCAGTGTAGCTTAACCAGCGTTCCAAAAATAGTGAGTTCCCCAGATACCGCATTTGGGAAATGGCGTAGAGAAATTATGCAAAAAGAGAAAAGCTGTGTCGCAGCTATGTTGGGTAAACAGCTATTTGTTTACTCAGAACTAATAAAACAGAGGAGGGCCTAAAATCTTTAACATAAAGAAAATAAAAACACAATAGCAATTTGTAATCTGTGCCATAATCTGACCGTCTTTCTCAAACTGTGCTCCAGGTCGAGACGAGAAGAAAAGAGCCAAGGAGGGATTGAGAGAGAGAGAGAGAGAGAGAGAGAGAGAGAGAGAGAGAAGGGGGAGTCATTACGCAGGTAACACGTCACATGAGTCATCAGAATTCCTGTTGCGTGTTGAGAATGAGAACCAAGATGTAATACGTCTTGCATTTTATTGGTGCTCTGGTGTTCAGGAGCTGCGTGTCTCAAGACATGTTACTGCAGTCTGCGCTGGAGCAAAGTGACATCAAGGGCAATGAAAAAAAAACAAATAAAGCCAAAAAAAATTAAAAAGGGAAAATATGTACCCAATAGGTTCACAGACTATGTATTACTGCAGCAGCAACCTGGAAACTGATTAAACAGTAGTTTTATTTTTCAGCAATAGAATTCCCTTTAGAAACCCGTTGAGTTGCCTGTACCTTAACATAGAAACATAGAAACATAGAAACATAGAATGTGACGGCAGATAAGAACCATTCGGCCCATCTAGTCTGCCCAATTTTCTAAAAACTTTCATTAGTCCCTAGCCTTATCTTATAGTTAGGATAGCCTTATGCCTATCCCATGCATGCTTAAACCCCTTTACTGTGTTAACCTCTACCACTTCAGCTGGAAGGCTATTCCATGCATCCACTACCCTCTCAGTAAAGTAATACTTCCTGATATTATTTTAAACCTTTGTCCCTCTAATTTAAGACTATGTCCTCTTGTTGTGGTAGTTTTTCTTCTTTTAAATATAGTCTCCTCCTTTACTGTGTTGATTCCCTTTATGTATTTAAATGTTTCTATCATATCCCCTGTCTCGTCTTTCCTCCAAGCTATACATGTTAAGATCCTTTAACCTTTCCTGGTAAGTTTTATCCCGCAATCCATGAACCAGTTTAGTAGCCCTTCTCTGAACCCCCTCTAAGGTATCAATATCCTTCTGAAGATACGGTCTCCAGTACTGTGTACAATACCCCAAGTGAGGTCTCACCAGTGTTCTGTACAATGGCATGAGCACTTCCCTCTTTCTACTGCTAATACCTCTCCCTATACAACCAAGCATTCCGCTAGCATTTCCTGCTGCTCTATTACATTGTCTGCCTACCTTTAAGTCATCAGAAATAATCACCCCTAAATCCCTTTCCTCATATGTTGAGGTTAGGACTCTATCAAATATTCTGTACTCTGCTCTTGGGTTTTTACGTCCAAGATGCATTATCTTGCACTTATCCACATTAAATGTCAGTTGCCACAATTCTGACCATTTTCTAGTTTACCTAAATCATTTGTCATTTGGCTTATCCCTCCTGGAACATCAACCCTGTTACATATCTTAGTATCATCAGCAAAAAGACATACCTTACCATCAAGACCTTCTTAAACACACAGTTTAGCTGTGACACCGGGACATGTGAACGGACAGTCTCTAAATATATAGAAACATTTTATGGCAACAAACAGAAAAACATTCTTTCACCAAGATTTACTGAAATCATTTGTAGAATATGTCTTCCAGGATGCAATATACTGTGCATGGATAGATTTGCTAAACATTCCCTGTTATAAGGATTTTTTAATATCTCTCAGTCTTTGCAGATCCCCAGTATTACAAGCTCAACGTAGCAAAGCTCAGAGAATTATTATTCTGCAGCCGTTGCCGGCCTGAAATGACGCAGGCTCCTTTACTACTCATTTATGCAGAGATAAAACGCTGGCAGTAAAGAGCAGGCAGAGGGAACATTAAAATACATAATACTGGGGGGGCAAGGGGGACTCGGAAACCATGCAGAGTGGAAGCAAAGGGTCACAGCTCTTCTTGTTCAATACTGTTTTGTACTGCTACGAATGGCCTGATAGATTTAATGGACTCTTACATAGTCTTATATAACCGGAGACATCCTACTGCACAGGTTTATACCACTTAAGAAGCACTTTTTAAAATCTTACTGCAGTCCAAATCTTATGGAGACCAACCTGTGACTGATCTTCTGCATTGTGAAATAGCTTGTGTCTCCATCAAGAGTTACACCACTCCCCCTCCCCCCCTCCAGGACCGGTGGGAGTGAATCCAGGCCCACCTGGAACAGTTACACTGGCTACTACCATACGCTGCTTGTTTGGCCTGCTCAGTGTTGTAAGCAGATCCAAGATGGCAGCTGTTACCTTGCCGGATAGGGCAACTTTTACAGACGGGCTCTATACTCAGTGTCTTTCTGGACATCTGCACCAGATTCTGGCAAGGCTAGAACAGAGGGCTAACGGAATTTCCGGGTCCCTAGCTCTCCCAACGCAGAATGCCAGACTTGACACATACCGATATACCGCCGCAACTCATCTAGGTCGTAGGCCTGTGGCAGCCTTCACGATGTAGTTTATGTTTCCCACTTTGATGCAGACTCAGTCACAGGAAAGGAGTAGTATGGTGGTCCCAGAGTGCCGTTACTGGGACGACTTCACCAGAGGAATTGTAGTGATGCACCTAGCCCCCCAAATCTACTTGAGGGGCCCTGGTCTCGGCAAGAGAGTGGTCTCCCAGAAACAGGAGTTGGATGACTTATCTAAAAATGGCATGAGCTGACGAGGACTCTCTGTATGCCATGAGGCTATGCTTTCTTGAAGGATTCTAGGCATCTTCTCATACGGTCCTTTCCTGCTGCTCCAGTGGCTTGACTTTTTTCCGTTTTATATATTTTAGCTGTTAGTTGAGCATTATAAAATGTTGCAAAACTCTTGACATATATCACAAACTTGTAGACACTATTCCTATGTTTTCACCTGCCTATGATAAAGTAACTAAATTGAAAGAAAAAAGAAAAAATTACATTATAGTGTGTATGTATGTACGTACACACACACACACACACACACACAATACTGCTGTTAGGCAAGGATTCCATGGACAAGTGTTTGTGTAGGTCTACATACTTTCATACGTACTAGAAGAAAGTAATTGGTCCAGTGTATGAAATGCACACATTTGCAGAGTGCCATCCAGCTTATTAGAATGGGGCATTGTTACTTCCCAGGGTTTTAATACTATGTTTACTTATTAACTATAGTTAACGATATTAAAACATTTTTTTTGAAAGGTCTAAAAAATAAAATTTTAAAGTAGCAATCTGCAACATTGATGGACAGATGAGGATGGGAAGGAGAAATATTGATTATAATGCTGATTATATAAAATAATAAAATTGTTTGTGTATTACATACCAGATTTTTAAATACACTAGAAAGCTGATGGAAGTTATCCTTACGTGTGAAGTGAGGGAGGGCAACTTCTATACATGGCACATAGTTTATTTAAATAAGTCAGCAAAACACATCATTTTTTAAGAGTTTCAAGAGTGCTCATTTTATTGTGCTATGTTGGAAAAGGCCCTCTAGGCGAAGAGGGAGTTTCAAAATGACAGACGCTCACACACGTAGGCTGTACATGTGTTGGAGTTCACCAGGTATTAAGATTTTGCTCCAAAACAGAAAATAAATCCTTGCGCATGGAATACAGTGTTTGCGCTGTGTGTGCTACAAGTAGAAGGGCAATGAACATACATGTTGTGATTGTTCTCCACTGCCTGCGTTTCACAAAGATATGGAATTTCACAACCTCTACAGAATCCAGCCATTCTGCAACGCTTATACAAGCATATATAGAGTACAGCTTCTTCTCAGTGGAAATAGGCTTATAGGAACATTACACATGCATCGATATGTACTTGCCTTAAAAGCCTCAAGAGAATTTTTAGCTGAACTGGAACCCCAGTAGGGCTATTTACATGTGGCCTTTTAGCTGCTATAGCATGAAGAAGCACTGGTAATCAATAAGCGCTTAGGAGTGGCTCTGTCTCTTCTAAGTAACTCATAAAGTTAATGCCGGCTGTGTTGGAATTTCATTGAAAATCCAATTCAATTCAAAGATTCAATAAGACAAAGTGGAGACCACTTTGTCTAATGGGCAGGTCTAAAGTTGACAAAATTTGTCCAATCCCAGCAGCCGTCACAATTGACGACTGTGGGAGTAAGGCATCACCTTGATCTGTGCAAGATGTAATTTAAAGAGGCTCCTGCGGGCTCCTTTATAAATCTTACAGGGTTATTAACTAAAGTGAGAATTACAAATGGGAGGTCAAAATAGCCGAAACATTCCAAGTCAACGATGCTTTCAGTTGGACTTCTCTGCCCTTACATTTCAAATTCACTATGAATTCTCAGTTTAGTAGAATTCACTCCATAACCATGGTAATGTTGCACTCTCATTCATCCCCACGGCTTATGGAGATGTCAACTACAGGGGTCTCTGCAAAATATGCAAAGACCCCCAAAACTGACAGATGTGTTTTAAGTAAAGCAAACTTAATTTAATTCTTCTTCAATATAGTTGATTTAACTGTTCTTGTGTATTCCTATCTGGGCAAAGCAGTTATAAGGAACTGGTGTACCAAAAACCATACTATACTGTAGTTGCTTCACAGCAAAATGGTGAAACACACAGATTTACTGGATTAAATAGTTGAAATAAGGACAAAAATCACCAAATTGAAATCATTTAAACATGTGATCAATTGAAATGAAAACAAAATAGTGCCCACGGGTGCATTTCACATCCACTATTGGAAACACAGAGCAACCCATGCGAGTATTTCACATATTACTTGGCTATCTGAGTACGACTATAACTACCCAAGCACTGGCATGGGAGAAACCGGGCATATCAGCGTGTTGCTGCCCTTGCATAATTCTAGAATTGGAGGAGTCTGGAGATGGGGATTGTATTTTAGTTTTTATCCTTTTCTGTACATTTGTCCTGTGAAAGAGGAAAGGGTAACTATCCATCTGTTACAGCTGCCGTTTGGACATATGGATAAAATAAATAAATGATGAGTGGCACTTATACAACTTGACAGGGGCCATCAAGGGTTTTACATTTACTTAAAGGGACACTACAGTCACCAGAAAAACTACAGCTTATTGCTTTTGTTCTGGTGAGTAGAATCATTACCCTCTGGCTTTTTGCAGTAAACACTGTCTTTTCAGAGAAAATGCAGTGTCTACATTACAGCCTAGGGATACCTCCACTGGCCACTCCTCAGATGGCTGCTAAAGTTGCTTCCTTGGGCAGTGCTGCCATTCAGGGTCTCCACCCTCTGCATGCAGACAGTGAACTTTCCTCATAGAGATACATTGATTCAATTCATCTCTATGAGGAGATGCTGATTGGCCAGGGCTGTGTTTGAATCATGCTGGCTCTGCCCCTGATCTGCCTCCTTGACAGTCTCAGCCAATCCTATAGGGAAGCACTGTGATTGGCTCAGACCACCAATTCTGATGATGTCAACAGACAAGGGCAGTTCACAGACGGACAGGGGCAAAGCCAGGAGCTAGAGACTTGAATACAAGTAAGATTTTTCTATGTGTAGAGAGGCAAGAGGGGGGCCAGGGGAGCTAGATGGTGGTTTGAAAACAGTATAGGGTCATGAATAAATGTTTGTGTTCCTGACCCTATAGTGTTCCTTTAAGTGATTCTTGTGAATGAGTAGCTGTCATTCTGCCCAACATTATGGCATAGAAATCCTATGGAATGTATGTACTTTCCTTACCAGAAACCCTTGCTGTGCTGGAATTTTTGCTCATTTTTTTTCTTTCTAGCGTATCCCTCTTCTCAAGCGATGTGGGGCTATAGTGCAAACCATTTCTGTATTCCTTGCACAAAAATGCATCAGGTGTTATGAATAAAATGTTTTGCATTAGAATATATCAACTTTACTCATACCCGCAATGTGTATTGAATGGCCTTTAAACCGTTTATAATCCTACTGCTCGCTTTCTTTTGATATAAAGCCTCTCAGGTAGGCTTCGCTCAGAGCAAAAGCTTGTTTTTTCTATAAAATGCTCAATTTGAAATTAATTCTAAAAAAAACCACGACATGTATTAATCTGCA